AATAAACACCACTTTAGTGTTTGATGTGGTCATTATCCAGTCCCCAGTAAAAGTCTATGCTATAGCACTGGGGATCATCCATAAGAGAGTAGCTTCACTCTATGAACAGCTACAGTAGCGTGACTGACTGGGTTTAAACAACACTGTCAGCCCGCTGAGATACTGTTAAGCCCAGGCAATGTCATTATTCCTGTTCATATTAGACATCTTTGTTGTATTGTATTGCATTGGGTTGTTCCTTTCATGTCCACAATCGTTCTCTCCCTCTTCCCCAGTCATCTCTCTCTCGCTTTCTCATCCCTCTCTCTCTCATCACTCTGTCTCTCCCTACCTTTCTCTCCCTCATCCCCCTCTCTCTCTCTCTGTTAGTGTGACAGATGTAATGGAGGATTATTTCATTAGTTGTGTTAGAGGCACAGCAGGTCACAGCCACAGCGGACATTTAATTACATCACACACACACACACCCACACACACACACACACACACACACACACACACACACACACACACACACACACACACACACACACACACACACACACACACACACACACACACACACACACACACACACACACACACACAGATTAATTCAGCTGTGACAGGAAAGGCTGTGATGGAGCATGATACTAATATAAACCACTCAGCAGGCAAACTAACCCTGGAGCTATCTATACAAATCTACCTCCTCTACCTCTCTCTACCTCTCTCTACATCTCTCTATACCTCTCTCATCCCCCTTTCTCTCTATCACTCTCTCTCTACCTACCTCTCTTGGCTTTCATGTCGCTCACATGCTGGGACGACTCTCTGAAGGCAGGTGGGATTGTCGCGAGTATGTGTGTGCATAAGTGTGCTTATGTGTGTATGTGAGCTTGTGTGAGCCGTGTGTGCATGCTTATATGGTCTATTGGTCTGTAACTAACAGCCAGTCATAGTGGCCAAAAAAAGATGGATGAAATACTGCTATGGGCATCAGTTAGTTTAGAGGTTACAGAGTTGGCCCAGCAACTGGAGGATTAGCAGTTTGAATCCCAGAGCCGGAGGGTTTCTGTTAACAGTACCTCCTGCCATTGTTCTCTTCAGCAAGGCACTTAAACCCTAAACCCCCGGTCCCAATGCTTCCTGGTTGCCTCTCGTATGTGTGTGGTGTGTAATCTCAGAGTGATGGAACAGGATTAAGGTCCTGAGAGAGCTGAGACAGATCAGGCTAAAGTCTCATCCCCTGAGGGTCTCTGTCTCTCTCTCTCTCTCTCTCTCAGTTCAATTCAATTCAATTCAAAGGGCTTTATTGTCATGGGAAACATACATTGCCAAAGCAAGTGAAATAGATAACGAATAAAAGGGAAATAAACAATCATAAATTAACAGTAAACATTACACTCACAAAAGTTTTTAAAGAATAGAGGCATTTCAAATGTTATATTATGGTTATGTACAGTGTTGTAACAATGTTGAAGAGTTGAAGTACAAAAGGGAAAATAAATAAACATAAATATGTGTTGTATTTACAATGGTATTTGCTCTGCCTCATTCAGGGTTTATATACACTTTGATATGCGCCACCTAGTGGCCATTCTATTTAACGGCATCTAGTTTGCGGTTTTTCTTTGGCGCTGAAAAGGGAACCAGGAAGTAATTTAGTTAAGATTCATTGTTGAGAATGGTTGCCGCACTGCTTGTCATCTCCTGCCATCCTTGCTGTTAAAGCCTTTGAAAGCATTGCTTTTTCACTCCGTTTCATCAATAAAACACTGGAGGTTTTTGGAAGCCAATCCCTGACTCTGGTTCGGTTTCTTTTTGAATGGAGTTTGGCTGGCTGTCAAATTACAGTTACACACCATAAGGAAGACAGCATAGTGTTTGTTCACTGGTTGCCGTTTTCTTGTGTCAACAGGTTGCAAATCTTGCTGCGGTGATGGTAACTGTGGTATTTAACCTATTAGATATAGGAGTTTATCGAAATTGGATATGTTTACAAATTCTTTATGGGTTTGTGTAATCTGAGGGAAATATGTGTCTCTAATATGGTCATACATTTGGCAGGAGGTTAGGAAGTGCAGCTCAGTTTCCATCTCATTTTGTGTTCAGTGAGCACATAGCCTGTCTTCTCTCGAGAGCCAGGTCTGCCTACTGCGGCATCTCTCAATAGCAAGGCTATGCTCACTGAGTCTGTACATAGTCAAAGCTTTTCTTAATTTTGGGAATTGTCTTAATTCTCTCTCTCTCTCCCTCCCTCCCACTCTATTGTCTGTGAGTACTCTACTCACCACAGGAGATAACATAGAGAGAGGAGCAAGGACAACACACACACACACACACACACACTAGTACACGCATTCAATACACACACACACTACACACATAGATAATAGAGAGCGTGAGAAGAGAGGGGAAACACAGAAAGAGAGAGGAGATAAGAACAAAATGTCACGGCATCATTCAGAGAGAGAATATGTAGGGATGAATAGAGATAGAATGGGGAGGAAGAGAGATGAACTGCAGCATGTTGACCTAGTAGTGGGTTTCTGTCTCTGTTATTGTTCTCTCTCTCTAATGAAGACATTAGCCAATCAAATGATGGCGTGCTGGTTCTTCACTGGGTACTAATGGTCTCTTTACAGCTGGATCACAATGAGACAAGGTGTGTGTGTGTGGGGGGGGGGGGGGGGGGGGGGGGGGGGGGGGGGTCATGGTCATGTGTGTTTATTGTACTGTACTGACTCTGTGTTTGTGTGTGTCTGTCTCTCTCAGGGCAGGATCGTAGCGAGGCCGGGTTGATCAGGCGGTTTAAGGGGGATGGCGTTCGCTACAAGGCTAAACTCATCGGTCTGGACGAAGTCACGGCTGCGCGGGGAGACAAACTCTGTCAAGATTCCATGATGAAGCTCAAGGTGAGTGTGTGTGTGTGTGTGTGTGTGTGTGTGTGTGTGTGTTTGACCCTGAGGACAAGGGAATGAGGGGGAAGGGGGTCTGGGGTAATAATGGAGTATAATGAGGTGAGGATGGGGGAGTGAGGAGGTGAGGATGGAGGAGAGAGGAGGTGAGAATGGGGGAGAAAGGAGGTGATGATGGGGGAGAGAGGAGGTGAGGATGGAGGAGAGAGGAGGTGAGAATGGGGAAGAGAGTAGGTGCGGATGGAGGAGAGAGGATCTGAGGATGGGGGAGAGAGGAGGTGAGGAAGGGGAGAGAGGAGGTGAGGATGGGGGATAGAGGTGGTGAGGATGGAGGAGAGAGAAGGTGAGGATGGGGGAGAGAGGAGGTGAGGATGGAGGAGAGAGGAGGTGAGGATGAGGGAGAGAGGAGGTGAGGATGGGGGAGAGAGGAGGTGAGGATGGAGGAGAGAGGAGGTGAGGATGGGGGAGAGAGGAGTTGAGGATGGAGGAGAGAGGAGGGAGGATGGGGGAGAGAGGAGGTGAGGATGGGGGAGAGATGAGGTGAGGATCGGGGAGAGAGGAGGTGAGGATGAGGGAGAGAGGAGGTGAGGATGGGGGAGAGAGGAGGTGAGGATGGAGGAGAGAGGAGGAAGGAGAGAGGAGGTGAGGATGGGAGAGAGGAGGTGAGGAGAGAGGAGGGAAGATGAGGGAGAGTGGAGGTGAGGATGGGGAAAGAGGAGGTGAGGATGGGGGAGAGAGGAGGTGAGGATGTGGGAGAGAGGAGGTGAGGATGGGGAGAGAGGAGGTGAGGATGGGGGAGAAAGGAGGTGAGGATGGGGGAGAGAGGAGGGAGGATGTGGGAGAGAGGAGGGAGGATGTGGGAGAGAAGAGATGAGGATAGGGAGAGAGGATGTGAGATAGTGATTTTGGCTCCTATCTCATTTAACCTGCTGGGTAATTGTGTGACGGAAGGATGTGGTGAAAAAGGAGAGGGGTGAGGAGAGGTGAGGGTGAGGAGGGGTGAGGAGCAGAGGCAAACGGTGCATTGATCAACTTGTTTCCCAATTTGTTCATCCAGACAGGAAATACACACACACCAGGGTTTCCGTTTGGAAAATGTGGCGCCAGATATTTGACCGGCAACATTTTAATTCACCGGAGATTTGAGAAATGTACCGGACCCATATGCATTGAGTGCGTAACCTGATTAGGGCGTCCACCCACGGTGCTCAGAATGACAGAAATCACATTTAGAATATGGTAATTCATATAAACAGAACATGCAAGTCGAGGATGCAATTCTTACCGAATTCTGATGTGCACTTTGAACATGTTAGCCAACAGGACGAGTAACGAACAGCAACATTACTAGCATATGTCAATCTACTATAGTAAAAAAGTTTAGGCTACCTATTCTATTGGTCAGCTTGTCAAGAAAGAAATAGCCTATTCCAAACAGACTCTGACACATGCTGACTAAACCGGGCACGCGCATTTGTCCGCGTGCGCCATCGCACGCATGTTGATTTTGTCCATCCACACCAGACGCAATCAGGACGCGCAAGTTGAAATATCAAAACGAACTCTGTACCAACTATATTAATTTAGGGACAGGTCGAAACGCATGAAGCATTCATGGCCATTTTGCTAGCTAGCTTGCTGTTGCTAGCTAATTTGTCCTGGGATATAAACATTGGGTTGTTATTTTACCTGAAATGCACAAGGTCCTCTACTCCGACAATTAATCCACAGATAAAAGGGTAAACCTAGTTAGTTTCTAGTGATCTCTCCTCCTTCAGTCTTCCTCTTCTTCTTCTTCTTTGGACTTTATATGGCGGTTGGCAACCAACTTTAAGGTGCATTACCACCCCGAACTGGACTGGAGTGTGAACCTCAGTTCAGCTTTCAATCACCCACGTGGGTATATGCTGCTAAAAACCAAAGAGGAGATGGGAGAGGCGGGACTTGCAGCGTGTCAAACGTAAAAAATAGAACCAAGTTCTATTTTAGCGCCTGGCTACGCAGACGCTCGTTGACGCACGCGAGCAGTTTGGATGAAATTATTGAATTACGTATGTGTACATTTATTTTGCAACGCTCGCACACGTAATGTGACCGGTGTGGTCAGCATGTAAGACAGTTGTGGGATGATAGATCCCAAATTCGTACAACCAGTAGGCCTAGGCTAGATAAAAAAACATTAAAAAGTAATGATTTGACCTTGTATTTTTCAGAGTTCCCAGTGATGCGGCAGCAGCTTTTCTGCTGTCTGACAGATTTTCCACTCAAAGGCTCTGTATCCGTATGCTGTATGCGTGTGATAAATAAGATACATAACCAATATACTGGAGCCTACACACGCAGCAATTTAATTCCACTAAATTATGAAAATTAACCTATAGACCGATAAGCATGACCAGTCAAATGTATTTCCATCGACTGCTATTTCCATCAATGAATAGGCTAAAAGTCATTTCTTTCTTCTTCTTCCGGACAATTGGCCGGCGCCAATTTTATTGATTTGCTTTTCTATTTTTTTAACGGCCAAAAGCCAGCTATTACCCTGACACACACACACACACTTCTGTTCTCTCTTCTCTGCTCTTCTCCATCTACAGTAAGTAGATGTGTGTTTGTGTGTGTCTATAACCCTGTCTCTTTGTGTCTGCTCTGTAGGGTATAGCAGCAGCAGGGCGGTCTAAAGGAGTCCACAAACAGAAGGTGTCTCTAACCGTCTCCTTTGGAGGAATCAAGATCTTTGATGAGAAGTCTGGGGTGAGTTTTGTGTCTGTAAGTGCATGTGTGCGTATGTGGGTCTGAGGTATTGGTCCAGGGGGACAGGTGGGCTTGTTAACGAGGCAGCTCTAAGGAGTCACAGGGGAAATCAGGAGGACCTAATTGAAACCTCCTCAGTAGATCAGAATACAGACCTGGTTTATCGTCTGATAGCAATGTAGTCTGTCTTTCTCTGTGTGCAGGCTGCCACAGTGTGTCTGTGAGTGTGTTTGTGTGTGTGTTGCCTTGCCTCTCTATCTCACACACTGCAGCCATATTGCTTACATCCCTGTCCCCTCCTCCCTCCCTATGGATGGATGGACGAATGGATGGATGGATGGATGGATGGATGAGCTCTCTCACGGAGGAGGGAAGGTCATGGAGGATGGAGAAGAGGAGCGAGGGAGCATTAATCTCTCCTCCGTCCCCACAGAGGGCGGTGCTCGTGTTCTCTCTCTCTATCATGGTCACCGTGGCAATGGATGAATAGAACACCCAGGAGGGGTGGAGAGAGGGAGAGGCCTTTAAGAGAAAAAGGAAAAGTGTGTGTGTACGTCAACCACTCTCCAGCCTCAGCCTAGCACGAGAAACCGGTGTTCAATCTACAGGCATGGGATGTGCGTGCATGTGTGTTTGTGTGTGCGTGCGTACGTTCTGTGTGTTTGTGCGTGTGGCGTACATGCGTGTGATCCCAGGGCCTCTCCTGCTGGCTTGGTTATTGGGGGGAGGGGGGGTCTCTTATTATTGTCAGGGCAGTCAATGGGAGTTATGACAATCATCAGCCTAGTTATTAAATATGGAAAGCATCAGTCACACACACAGTCTCTGTCTCCTACCACTATAGCTGCTGCTGGGTGCTCTGTACTTTACTGTCAGAGCTCTGTGTGGGGTTGACAGATGCACATCTCTGTGTGTGTGTTTGTGCTCAGTGCTGTGTTCTGAGATTGCCTCTGTCTGTAGTGACACATCCAGTGAGCAGATGAAATGATCAACTCGACTGCCTGCAGCGACGCCACTGTCATTGTCACTTACACTCAGACACGCACACACGTACGTGTGGGTGTGTGTGTGGCAGCAGTATGCATGTGTACGTGTGCTATGTGTGTGTGTGTGTGTGTGTGTGTGTGTGTATGTGTGTGTTGGGATGTCGGTGTAAGTATTTGTGAGTGTGTGGGTCGAGTCAGTCCCTGCTCCCGTTCTCTGGGACAACCAGTGCCATCTGCCATGGGCACAGTCATCCCTCACTGGCGCAAACACTCTGGCTAAACTGGGGGGAGTAGGGGAACTAAAGACTGTTAAACGAGCAGGCGGGTGTGTGTGTGTGTGTGTGTGGGTTGAGGAGGTCTAATCCCCCTTCTTCCTGCCTGGCACAAAAACACAACAGGCTCACAGGGAATAGTGTGACTGTCTCCTTCCGTCTGTCCTTAGTTTGGCAAGGGGTGTGTGAGGGCCACTTCCTGCTGAGAGCTGTCTGAGCTCTGAAAAGAAGTACTGCCAGATCCTCTCCCTCCTCTCTCTCCTCTCTCACCTCTTTCCTCTCCTCTCCTCCCTTCTATCCTCTCTTCTTTTTATCTCTAGATCAGTGGTCCAGTCTCTGACTGTGTTTCTCTGCCTGGTCTCTCTCAGGTCCTCCAGCACCACCATGCGGTCCATGAGATCTCTTACATCGCTAAAGACATCACGGACCACCGAGCCTTTGGCTATGTCTGTGGGAAGGAGGGCAACCATCGCTTCGTAGCCATCAAGACGGCACAATCTGTGAGTCCCACACAGTGTGTGTGTGTGTGTGTGTGTGTGTGTGTGTGTGTGTACGTGCCATTGTGTGTGTTTCTGTTGTCTATGACTCCCCATTGTCCTCTGCTAGCCCCAGGGAACATTGTCCTGTTCACATTTAGATAATGACCCTTGAATCAGCTCTCAGCAGATAGAGAGCACAGTCTGCTCTGCTGCTGTGTGTGTGTGTGTGTCTATATTCTCTCTGTGTTGTTGTTGTCTGTGTCTCTGTGTCAGTGTTTTGTGTGAGGCTGTCTCTGCTCTCTGCTGCCATATTGATTTCCCACAGCGACTCGATGAGTGTGTGAGTGTGTCATCGTCTCTAACGACCCATCAATCCTCCCAGGAACTGCCCTGGCGCCCTGTGAAACAGAGCAACCCAGCAAGCTACCATGTATTCCTCTGGGTGTGCTAGGAGAGTTCCGTACCTGTAGTGTTTTCTGAGGACAGAAACGACAAGGGAGAGGAGAGAAGGAACAGAGAAAGTGATGAGAGAGAGAAGAAAGAGTGATGAAAGACAGAGAAGAGAATCAGAGGAGGGGAGAGGTCAGACTCACACTACATGATTTATCTAAGTCTGTATCAGAGTTCAGATGTGGTAGGAAGGAAGGAGGAACATGTTGGAACGCAACACTATACTGGTGATGTCCGAACACTGTCTGTGAACTCCCTGTTATGCCTCAATCAAATATTAAACATGATCTATATTTCATTGTTCCCCAGGCTCACCTCTTAGAATCCACAGCTCTCTGCTCTGAAGCTGTTCATAGTGAAACTAAGAAGTCACATCGAAATGCTTCATTACACTGTGAATGTGAGGTGATATGTGTGTGTATGTGTACGCCCATGCTTGTGTATGTGTGTGAGAGTGTGTGTGTGCCTATATATGTGTGCGTGTGCGCACTTGTGTGTGTGTGTGTTACAACTAGCTCTCACAGTCTCACGTCAGAATTAGACGTTCATCCATGTTTTTCAAACATCAAATTTCGAAGTTGTTCCAAACGTCAAATTTCAAAGTGTTTAAGGTTAAGTTTAGGCATTAACTCAGAAATCTTAAGGTTAGGTATTAACTCCGAATGGTAAAGGTAAGGGTTAAGGTTTGGGATAGGTTTAAAACAAAAATCTCAAAACAACCTTCTGTTGCTGGATTTGAACTTGCAACCTTTGGAATCAGAGGAAGATGCTTACGCCCATCCCCCAGCCTGTCCACAATGCCCTAGTAAAACGGAAACCTACTTGACGGTAACAGCGCTCACTGTTGCCCCTAGTGGCCGGTTTCCACGTCATCTCCCGACATCCTCAGACATGGATGGACGTCGAATACTGACTTGTATCACGGGTGACCTGGCTGGTTACCCACAGAGCTACAGTGTATTCGGAAAGTATTCAGACCCCTTGACTTTTTCCACATTTTGTTACGTTACAGCCTTATTCTAAAATGGATTAAATTGTTTTTCCCCTCATCAATCTACACACAATACCCCATAGTGATGAAGCAAAACAGGTTTTTAGAACTTGTTGCAAATGTATAAAAAAATTGAAACTGAAATATTAAATGTGCGTAAGTACTTTGTTGAAGCACCTTTGGCAGGGATTACAGCCTCAAGTCTTCTTGGGTATGACGCTACAAGCTTGGCACACCTGTATTTGGGGAGTTTCTCCCTTTCTTCTCTGCAGATCCTCTCAAGCTCAGTCTGGTTGGATGGGGAGCGTTGCTGCACAACTATTTTCAGGTCTCTCCAGAGATGTTTGATCGGGTTCAAGTCTGGGCTCTGGCCACTCAAGGACATTCAGAGACTTGTCCTGAAGCCACTCCTGCATTGTCTTGGCTGTATGCTTAGGGTCGTTGTCCTGTTGGAAGGTGAACCTTCGCCCCAGTCTGAGGTCCTGAGCGCTCTGGAGCAGGTTTTCATCAAGGATCTCGTTGTACTTTGCTCCGTTCATTTTTGCCTCGATCCTGACTAGTCTCCCTGTCCCTGCCACTGAAAAACATCCCCACAGCATGATACTGCCACCACCATGCTTCACCGTAGGGATGGTGCCTGGTTTCCTCCAGATATGATGCTTGGCATACTGAGCAAAGAGTTCAATCTTGGTTTCATCAGACCAGAGAATCTTGTTTCTCATGGTCTGAGAGTCTTTAGGTGCCTTTTGGCAAACTCCAAGCGGGCTGTCATGTGCCTTTTACTGAGGAATGGCTTCCGTCTGGCCACTCTACCATAAAGTCCTGATTGCTGGTGTGCTGCAGAGAGGGTTGTCCTTCTGGAAGGTTCTCCCATCTCCATAGAGGAACTCTGGAACTCTGTCAGAGTGACCATCGGGTTCTTGGTCACCTCCCTGACCAAGGCCCTTCTCCCCCGATTGCTCAGTTTGGCCGGGCGGCCAGCTCTAGGTAGTCTTGGTGGTTCCAAACTTCTTCCATTTAAGAATGATGGAGGCCACTGTAGTCTTGGGGACCTTCAATGCTGCAGACATGTTTTGGTACCCTTCCCCAGATCTTTGCCTCGATACAATCATGTCTCGGAGCTCTATGGACAATTCCTTCGACCTCATGTCTTGGTTTTTGCTCTGACATGCACTGTCAACTGTGAGACCTTATATAGACAGGTGTGTGCCTTTCCAAATCATGTCCGATCAATTGAATTTACCACAGGTGGACTCCAATCAAGTTGTAGAAACATCTCAAGAATGATCAACGGAAACAGGATGCATCTGAGCTCAATTTCGAGTCTCATAGCAAAGGGTCTGAATACTTATGTAAAAAGGCATTGCTGTGTTTTATTTTTTATATATTTGCAAAAATGTCTAAAAACCTGTTTTCCCTTTATCATTATGGGGTGTTGATGAGGATTCTTTTTCCGAATGCACTGTATATAACAGTGTTCTACTACCTCTCCCCCTCCCAGGCAGAGCCAGTGATCCTGGACCTCCGAGACCTGTTCCAGCTCATCTATGACATCAAACAGAGGGAGGAGATGGAGAAGAAAGCCCAGAAAGATAAACAGTGTGAACAGGCTGTGTACCAGGTACACACACACACACACACACACACACACACACACACACACACACACTTTTACCTCACATTCACTTACACACACTTGTACAATACACACACACACTCACAATGCAGAGGAGGGGACAGGACTGTTCTGTGTTTACTATGTGATTATCTGCTGCTTGGGAATGCTTGGTGCTGCTGCCTCTATCTGTCAACTACACTGATCTTCCTGGCTTTCCTCTTCCATCTCTACTCGCTTGCTCCCCCCTCTACTCTTCTATCCCCTCTCGACCTTCTAGCCGCCTCTACCGAGGAGTCCCCCCACCCGACGCGCAGCCCCGCACGCTAGAGCCCCCCGGACGCTCGAGCCCTCACTCGGCGATCCCCCCGCGACGCGGCGAGCCCCCCGATGCCCCCCCGCTACCCTCGCTACCTAGCCCGCGCGACGCGGCGAGCCCCCCGACGAGCGAGACCCCACGCAGACGAGGAGCCCCCGCGACGGGCTATCCCCGAAACCCGCACCCCCGCTACGCGGCGATCCCCCGCGACGCTAGAGCCCCGCGCGACGCGGAGAGCCCCCGGAGAAGCGGCGACCCCGCGGACGCTCCCTCGCTACCCCCCTCCGCGCCCGCGATCTCCTTCTACTCTTATATCCCCTCTCTACTCTTCTATCCCTCCTCTACTCTTATATCCCCTCTCTACTCTTCTATCCCCCCTCTACTCTTATATCCCCTCTCTACTCCTCCATCCCCTCTCTACTCTTATATCCCCTCTCTACTCTTATATCCCCTCTCTACTCTTCTATCCCCTCTCTACTCTTCTATCCCCTCTCTACTCTTCTATCCCCTCTCTACTCTTCTATCCCCTCTCTGCTCTCTTTCCCCCCTCTTCCCCTTCTCTGTCCGTCTGTCTGTCTTTAGACTATTCTGGAAGAAGATTTGGAGGATCCGGTCTACCAGGTAACTTCTAAACACCAATCAGAATGCTTCTATAATGCTGTTATCCAATCAGAATGTTTCTCTCTAATGCTTCTTCCAATCTTCCAATCGCCTTGCCTGTTTCTCTGTGTCTGCGGGGGATTGTGGGGGAGTCCCAGGGTACTGGTCAGACAGATGGAGTTCTCTTTGTGTGTGTGTGTGTGTGGTTGTGGTTTTGTGTGTTTGTGTGTGTGTGTGTGTGTGTGTGTGTGTGTGTGTGTGTGTGTGTGTGTGTGTGTGAGGGTATCTATATGGGATTGCTTTGGGGCGGGACCCACAGATGATTCTGTTTGACCAATCACATCTTTGCTTCCTATTCTCAGTCTGTCCTTTTCCTTTTTCTTCTATTTCCTATTTCCTATTTTTCTCTTTCTCTTTCTTCCTCCTCTCCTCTCCTCCCTCTGCTGCCGGTGTTGTAGTACATTGTGTTTGAGGCGGGACACGAGCCCATCCGTGACCAATCAGAAGAGAGCATTTATCAGGTACAAGCCCCTCCCCTCTGCTTGGATCTTATTGGTGGAGTTGTGTGAGTGACAGGAGCAGGGTTCCAATGGGAATAGAGATGATTAGAGAATAACATCACCTACAGCTTCACTACTGACAGACAAGCAACTGAAACCTGAGAGAAAACTATACACACATGCATGCACAGGAAAACATAGGAAACAGAGGCTGATAAAAGAATATGCCAACAACATGCAGTGGTGTAGACCCAGTCTCCAGGGAGGATAGCCTTTCTATGGGTACTCTCCTCAGGAGGACTGGGTGGCCCTCCAGGCGATGGAGTGGGAGGAGAAATGTGGGAGGTGTGTGTGATGTTATTCTTGGCCTGTGAGTAAGGCAGACCCCTCCTCCTTCCCCCTCTTCCTCTTTTCCCCTCCTCTTTCTTTTCCCGAGGAGATGAAAGAGGGAGTGGGAATGAAAGAGAGGGAAAGATTAATCACCAGGCTTTCGTTTGATCTTTAAATAAAATGGATTGAAAATAGAGTGCGCTCCAACACACACACAAACACACACACACACAAACACACATGCGAGAAGACGTGTTAGAAGTGTGCCACAGAGCCAACAGATGAATAAAGATGTCTGCCTCTAGAAATAAAGAACCTGAGAGATGGAGAGATGAAGATGGATGAGAGAGAGAGAAAAAAACTAGAGAACGAGAGAAGAGAAAGAGTGATTAGGAAAGATGGAGGGGAGATGGAGGGAGGAGAGATGGTGGAGCGAGTACTCAGGTGTTGGTAAATCCAACTAGCTCTCACAAACTCACTTCAGAATTAGACGTTCATACATGTTTCTCAAATGTCTAATTTCAAAGTTGTTCCAAACGTTACATTTAGAAGTGTTCAAGGTTATATTTAAAAGGCATTAACTCCTAATTTTTAAGGTTAGGGTTAAATTTAGGCATTAGCTCTGAAATCTTAAGGTTAGGTATTAACTCTGAATGGTTAAGGTAAGGGTTAAGGTTTGGCATAGGCTTAAAACAAAAATCTAAAAAACAACTTTCTATCGCTGCAACCTTTGGCACCAGAAGCAGATGATTACGCCCAGCTAAACCGAAACCTACTTGAAGGTAACAGCGCTCAATGTTGCCCCTAGTGGCTGGTTTCCACGTCATCTCCTGACGTCCCCAGACATGGATGGACATCGAATACTAACTTGTATCACGGGTGGCCTGGCTAGGTAAATCTGTGGTCTGTTATGATGGACAGACATTTTTGTCCCATCAGGTTTTTATTGACGTTTCCATTCACAACAGATCAATCTGGTGGATTAATTTGTCAGTCTGACACGTCAGGGACAATGAATCATCAGTTAATCGAACGAAACGCAGATAATACATATAGAGACATTCACCTGTATCAATTGTCTGTCTCTCTCTCTCTATGGCTGTTTCTCAAAATACCCTAATCCCCAGGCTCTGGCCAAAGGTGCACTACACAAGGAATATGGTGTCATTTGAGCCATAACCACAGACAGACAAGTTTATTACATGTCTCTCGCTGTGATAATACCACATTGATCCAGTCTATATTGGAGAGCGAGAGGGAGATGGAGAGAGAGAGGACGGGGGGAGAGAGGGAGAACTGCTCACACATCAGGCTGATAGTCCACAGATGACTCTGAATGAAGCCTCAACTCATAGATTTTAATACAGATTACATCACTCTCACACACATGCACGAGCATAGACAGACACATAGACACACACTCAGATGCAAGCTACAGTCGTGGTCAAAAGTTTTGAGAATGACACAAGTATTGGTCTTCACTAAGTTTGCTGCTTCAGTGTTTTTAGATATTTTTATCAGATGTTACTATGGTATACTGATGTATAATTACAAGCATTCCATAAGTGTCAAAGGCTTTTATTGACAATTAAATCAAGTTTATGCAAAGAGTCAATATTTGCAGTGTTGACCCTTCTTTTTCAAGACCTCTGCAATCCGCCCTGGCATGCTGTCAATTAACTTCTGGGCCACATCCTGACTGATGGCAGCCCATTCTTGCATAATCAATGCTTGGAGTTTGTCAGAATTTGTGGATTTTTGTTTGTCCACCCGCCTCTTGAGGATTGACCACAAGTTCTCAATGGGATTAAGGTCTGGGGAGTTTCCTGGCCATGGACCCAAAATGTCGATGTTTTGTTCCCCGAGCCACTTAGTTATCACTTTGCCTTATGGCAAGGTGCTCCATCATGCTGGAAAAGGCATTGTACGTCACCAAACTGTTCTTGGATGGTTGGGAGAAGTTGCTCTCGGAGGATGTGTTGGTACCATTCTTTATTCATGGCTGTCTTCTTAGGCAAAATTGTGAGTGAGCCCACTCCCTTGGCTGAGAAGCAACCCCACACATGAATGGTCTCAGGATGCTTTACTGTTGGCATGACACAGGACTGATGGTAGCGCTCACCTTGTCTTCCTCGCTGCCCTTCTTGACACCAGGCCATCCTTCAAAAGTCTTCGCCTCACTGTGTGTGCAGATGCACTCACACCTGCCTGCTGCCATTCCTGAGCAAGCTCTGCACTGGTGGTGCCCCGATCCCACAGCTGAATCAACTTTAGGAGACGGTCCTGGCTCATGCTGGACTTTCTTGGGCGCCCTGAAGCCTTCTTCACAACAATTGAAACTATCTCTTTGAAGTTCTTGATGATCCGATAAATGGTTGATTTAGGTGCAATCTTACTAGCAGCAATATCCTTGCCTGTGAAGCCCTTTTTGTGCAAACCAATGATGACAGCACGTGTTTCCTTGCAGGTAACCATGGTTAACAGAGGAAGAACAATGATTTCAAGCACCACCCTCCTTTTAAAGCTTCCAGTCTGTTATTCTAACTCAATCAGCATGACAGAGTGTTCTCCATTCTTGTCCTCGTCAACACTCTCACCTGTGTTAACGAGGGAGTCACTGACATGATGTCAGCTGGTCCTATTGTGGCAGGGCTGAAATGCAATGGAAATGTTTTTGGGGGATTAAGTTCATTTTCATGGCAAAGAGGGACTTTGCAATTAATTGCAATTAATCTGAACACTCTTCATAACATTCTGGAGTATATGCAAATTGCCATCATAAAACCTGAGGCAGCAGACTTTGTGAAAATTAATATTTGTGTCATTCTCAAAACTTTTGACCACGACTGTATAAGAAACAATTCATTCTCAGTTAATGTTGTCCGTTAGTCCTGACAATGTACAGGCTTTAGTCTACATTTGGCTGTCCAGTAAGGCTTTATTTTATAGTCTTGTATTGCTTTGCTATTTCCTACAATTGGTACTTTCTGGTACATTAAATGAAGGTTGTCATATTAACAAAAGCTAATGTGTGGTTGGTGGGCTGTAATGTGGTGATTGGTTGGTTGTCCAGGTTCCGACCAGTCAACAGAAGGAGGGGGTATATGACGTCCCCAAGAGACACCCAGTGAGTCCAGCTGTGTGTGCCTGTCCCCCCCTTGGTGCTATGGTGTTACCCGTGGATATCCTCTGCTGTGGCTTTGTGGTAGTGTGGGTGGAGTCGCTGTGTATGTGAATTGGAGTGGGTGGGGCTTGCTCTATGCTTGGTGCTGGTTGCATGCAGTGTGGTGGCAGGTGGCATGTGCATTGCATGCAGTGTGGTGTCTTGGTGATGCATGGCTGGCTGTGGTCTGCTGGTGAACGAACAAACATGCATGGACTGACAATACTAGAAAGAAAGAGATTGGTAAGAGGGAGAGAGCGTGTGTATGTGCATGTACACACCTGTGTGTGTGTGTCATTCCAGTTGACCTTGACCGTTGTCAGGATGCACCATAACTGTCCATCTCCTTTATGATCTTATTAAACATGGTAGTTAAACATCTCTCTGTTTCACTAGCTAATAACTCCATCCTCATAACCACACTATAGTAGCTATTCTGCACCTGCTACTCCACACCTGTCTAAAAACCAAAGATCCTAACAGTAGGGAGGGCGTCTCGTTGTCAAAATCTGCCCTGCTCACTGTTCCCCCTGTACTTCCACTGGGCTCTCCTAGCTCAAACTACAGAACACACACACATTGTATAGTCGTAATCAGATGGTGTGGATTGTGGCAGTCAGTTCTGTCCTGTGTTTCTGTATTATCCCAGCAGTGCTAAGAGGCTTATAGTATGTATACTAGTGAGATCCCACAGCCCTACTGCTCTCCTGTACCACACCACAACACTGACGCTTAACGGCTTTTCTCTGTGCTTACCAGGCCTGTGTGTATCTGTAGGTGTTGTAATACTGTACTATAGCCAGTAGGGTCTGGCACCTCTGTCGAAACCATATGCTCCACTGTTATTTAGACTGTCACCTTCTGTCTCTCAATGCTATTAACCAATAAGAATAAAACACACACACACACACAAAGGCACACACATACAAACGCACGCTCGAACACACACACGCACACACACATATACACACACACACACGTAAAACACACACACATAAAGAACACACACGTAAAACACACACACACGTGACTACTTCAATCTCCGGAGTCCTTGACCCTGTGCGAGTTTACACAGTCTATTGATTTAACCTGGCTCATTCCCTGGCCCTGACCCAAAAGAGGGCAGCCTATTGTCATCTGGCAGTGAAGCACAAGTGGGCTAGTGTGTGTGTGTCCATGCATGCGGTGTGTGTGTGTATGTTCAGCGAGACAGCAGGAGATCAGGGAGGTGGGTGTTAATTAAGGGGGCTGCGTTAATTGTATGCAAACACATGCCCATGCTAATTACTGTTTCCTTGGAGACCGCTAATTGATAGGTGGTTGTCGCAGTGATAAGGAGCAAGGGATGGGCAGAGAGAGAGAGATGGAGGAAAGAGGAGGGCAGGAATCGGATGTGATGAGCTCTGTGTGTGTGTGAAAGTGTGTGAACAGTAAAAGTACCTACATGTAATGTTCCATCCCTCCACCTCAACTCACCCTGTCTCCATATGTCTGTTATTGTTTGAGTGTGTGATACATCATTTCTGTGTCTGTGTTTCCATCTCATCCCACCATTCTCCATCTCATGTGACTGTGCAGAATGCTCAAAATGGTCACCAACAACAACAACAACAACAACAGTCTCTGATAGATCTCATGGATATGGACAGTGTATGGACACCACAGGTAAGGTGCATTATGAAGGACTGGCCATCAACGCAAAGGGTGGCTATTTGAAGAATCTCAAATATAAAATATATTTTGATTTGTTTAACACTTTTTGGGTTAATACATGATTCCATATGTGTTACTGCATAGTTTTGATGTCTTCACTATTATTCTAAAAATAAAGAAAAATCCTTGAATGAGTAGGTGTCCAAACTTTTGACTGGTAGTGTATATTAAGATATTTAAGTAATTTAGTAATGAATGTTTGTGACCTCTGCTGCTACTAATGAATGTAAAAACTTCAGTATCTGATTGATTTCAGAGAGGGGGAGGGGGAGAGAGGGAGGGCCTTGAGAGCTGACATAAAGGTCAAATCTACATCAGACAGATGGAGAAGTCGGAGAGAGAGGGAGGTGGTCAGGTCAGAGAGGGATGGAGGGATGCGAGGAGGGGGAGGGGTCAAGCTTTGGTCATCCTGTCCAACAGAGAGGGTCTGACTCACTCCTCACAGCTCATTAATAACACAGAGGATATAATCAGCTCAGTACTGACCCAGGCTTCGTCCCAAATGGCACCCTGTTATTTATTTTAGTAACACACTACAGTGACCACACTGACCGACCACAGAGGTCAGAAGTGACCCTCCCTCAGCTCCGGGAGATTCAGACTAACACTATCAGCCATAGGTGTCAGTAAGTTCAGGGTTAAAAGAAAGACAGGGTAGTGTCAGTGTACAGTATACTATATACAGTATCTCCCTCGGACTGTGAGTGTTGTCAGTAACAGTATGTACATAACTCCTCCTCTCTCCTCCTCTCTCACTAACAGCAGAAACACTCAGTTCAGCTGTATGGCAAGAAATGACACGCTCTTTCTGATCCATTATCTGATAGATAGACACTTTAAGCTTTAGAATATAATAAGAGCGCCATGGTCTGTGTGACCTATTAGTTTAACTAGTGGAGCCAGAAAGTAGATATTCTAAGAAGCGTCTGTGCAGACATGATCCCCAGAGCCCTATGCAGCAGAATACTGGAGATAGATCTAGCTCTATACAGTGGGGGGGAAAGTATTTAGTCAGCCACCAATTGTGCAAGTTCTCCCACTTAAAAAGATGAGAGAGGCCTGTAATTTTCATCATAGGTACACGTCAACTATGACAGACAAATTGAGATTTTTTTTCTCCAGAAAATCACATTGTAGGATCTTTAATGAATTTATTTGCAAATTATGGTGGAAAATAAGTATTTGGTCACCTACAAACAAGCAAGATTTCTAGCTCTCACAGACCTGTAACTTCTTCTTTAAGAGGCTCCTCTGTCCTCCACTCGTTACCTGTATTAATGGCACCTGTTTGAACTTGTTATCAGTATAAAAGACACCTGTCCACAACCTCAAACAGTCACACTCCAAACTCCACTATGGCCAAGACCAAAGAGCTGTCAAAGGACACCAGAAACAAAATTGTAGACCTGCACCAGGCTGGGAAGACTGAATCTGCAATAGGTAAGCAGCTTGGTTTGAAGAAATCAACTGTGGGAGCAATTATTAGGAAATGGAAGACATACAAGACCACTGATAATCTCCCTTGATCTGGGGCTCCACGCAAGATCTCACCCCGTGGGGTCAAAATGATCACAAGAACGGTGAGCAAAAATCCCAGAACCACACGGGGGGACCTAGTGAATGACCTGCAGAGAGCTGGGACCAAAGTAACAAAGCCTACCATCAGTAACACACTACGCCGCCAGAGACTCAAATCCTGCAGTGCCAGACGTGTCCCCCTGCTTAAGCCAGTACATGTCCAGGCCCGTCTGAAGTTTGCTAGAGTGCATTTGGATGATCCAGAAGAGGATTGGGAGAATGTCAGATGAAACCAAAATAGAACTTTTTGGTAAAAACTCAACTCGTAGTGTTTGGAGGACAAAGAATGCTGAGTTGCATCCGAAGAACACCATACCTACTGTGAAGCATGGGGGTGGAAACATCATGCTTTGGAGCTGTTTTTCTGCAAAGGGACCAGGACGACTGATCCGTGTAAAGGAAAGAATGAATGGGGCCATGTATTGTGAGATTCTGAGTGAAAACCTCCTTCCATCAGCAAGGGCATTGAAGATGAAACCTGGCTGGGTCTTTCAGCATGACAATGATCCCAAACACACCGCCCGGGCAACAAAGGAGTGGTGAGAAGCATTTCAAGGTCCTGGAGTGGCCTAGCCAGTTTCCAGATCTCAACCCCATAGAAAATCTTTGGAGGGAGTTGAACGTCCGTGTTGCCCAGCGACAGCCCCAAAACATCACTGCTTTAGAGGAGATCTGCATTGAGGAATGGGCCAAAATAACAGCAACAGTGTGTGAAAACCTTGTGAAGACTTACAGAAAACGTTTGACCTGTGTCATTGCCAACAAAGGGTATATAATAAAGTATTGAGAAACTTTTGTTATTGACCAAATACTTATTTTCCACCATAATTTGCAAATAAATTCATTAAAAATCCTACAATGTGATTTTCTGGATTTTTTCCCCTCATTTTGTCTGTCATAGTTGACGTGTACCTATGATGAAAATTATAGGCCTCTCTCATCTTTTTAAGTGGGAGAACTTGCACAATTGGTGGCTGACTAAATACTTTTTCCCCCCACTGTATATGGCTCTGATTGGCCCTATCTCTGATTTATGCTAATCTCTGACCATGTCTCCACAGGGCTAAATACCTTATTAATGCTAGAAAATATGTGATGAGAGATGTTAGAGAGATATGAAATGGAGGGATTTTGAAGAAAGAGAGACATATATAGAGAGATTGAAGTTAAAGGAAGAGAGATATGAGAGTATATGGAGATCTGTGGATTAGGGTAACTTGGATCAGGTAGGTACTGTATGTCACCTCCACCAATCATATCACTCCATTAATTCATGACATCATCACCTAACCACCCCTGGCTCTTTCCCTGTGGCTCAGTTTGATGATGTCACTGTGCCCACCAGAGGTAGGTACCAGGTCGCGTTTGGCATGTTGCGTGTTCTGTGTTTTCGTAATGTGTGTTGACATGCAACACTGACGTTTCTATTGTAGCATGATGTCTGACGGCTGTGAACTCTCTTTCTGATTGGCAGAATATCAACCAATTAGAGCTCTTCGGAGACATCTCTACACTCCCGGACATCTACTCCCCTTCGGTGAGTACACCCCCCCACCCTCGCTCTCTCCTGACCTTTGATCTGGCTGTAGGTAGACAACTGTGTTGTGTGTGTGTCTGTTTGGCTCCCCTGAAGGTGTAAAGTAGTTTTAACTTGTTCCTCCCCACTCTCCTCCCTCAGACCCCTGCCTCTCCAGACAACACCCTGGACCCCTCTCTGGGCCTGCAGCCCCCCACGGAACTCTTCACCCCCTTCAACCCCGCCTCCGTACCCTCAGGTAGGAACTCTCCCCTCCCCTATACTCTCTTCTTCTCTCCTCTCCCCTCTCTTCTCCTCTCTTATTCTGTCCTCTCCTCTCCTCTTTGGAGCAGAGCTGGAACAAGCAGCTCTGAGAAGAGATGAGTCTGAGAGTTATAGTGAGTCTGTACAGTTTCATGAGTCTGTGTGACTGTCTGAATAGGTCTGTACATGATATGACTGAGGCTCATCGTGGATGTAATGATAATAGTTCAGCAGAACCATTAAGACACAACATTAACTACAGGCTATAGTAGGTCACTACTGCAGTGGTACATGGGGTACTCTGTGTGTGTCCATGCCATGTGCATGTGTATAACTCGCTCTTCTCCTCTCTGTGTCTAGGTTATGTGACGATGGGAGCGGTACCTCCAGGTCAGGTGTGGTCCCAGCAGGCATTTGCTGCCCAGGCAGGTCCTCTGTTCGGGGTCCAGTCCCCCCTGGGTCAGTCCCTCCCTGTGGCCCAGGTCCTACCTGGAGGCCAGCCTCTCATCTGGGGCCAGGCCAACCTCTTCCCTGCTACACAGCAGCAGTGGGCCGCTATGACGGGAGCAGGTATATACACACAGACACAGACATGTAGGTATGTACGCACACACACGCATGCACATACATGTATGCACACACACAGAGATGCATGCGCGCGCACACACACACTAAAGTGTATTTTCCTGTATCTAGGGTTCCCTGCTACAGCCTACCTCCCAGCCCAGCCAGGGTCTCTGCCTACCATGTTCCTCCCTGTTAATCAACCCTGCGACAGCCTATCATCTGCTGGCGCTGCCTCTAACCCTGCCCCCTCATCAGCCTCCAGTCCACAGCATGCAGAGAGGCAGCGGCAGAAGATGAGCAAGGTAAGATCATTTTATTCCATTGATTTTATTTAAACCAAACAAATGGCCTGGCCAAGACACACAAGCTCTATACAATAGCTTTTTATTGGCCAACATCTTACATAGTCTGTCTTTAACATCTTCTGCTCTTTCTGTAGGAGATGTTTAAGGACTTCCAGCTAGCAAAGCCCCCTGCCATGCCAGCTAAGATGGGGGACCAGCACCAATGTCTAGCAGGGACCTCGGAGGCCTTCAGTTCCTATTTCAGCCGCGTGGGGACCGCCACTGATACAGACGACTGTGACGACTTTGACATCTCTCAGCTCAACCTCACACCTGTCACCTCTACCACGCCCTCCACTAACTCACGTATGTACATACTCCTGGCTGGTTGTATATGAGATAACTCTCTGTTTGGAAGTTCCCTCCACCCCTCAGACCATTCGACCTCCATGTTTGTCTCAACTCCCAGTCTTTTTTACATACTGTATCTCATTTTATCAATTGTAATTTGTTTTATTGTATGTGTTACTGCAATTACAGTTTTTTTCAATTGCTAACAAGCATCGGTCAATACTGAAGCCACTTTTTCAAAACTCTTCACACAGTCTGCATTACCAACATGCATCTTGGCCAAACAGTTAATCTCACCTCCAAAACTCACTAAACCACCAAAACACTTCATACATGTCTCAAAATAAGCTTGTTCGACCACAACACTGGCAACAATTCTCACTCAGAAAGCATACATTGTCACTCATAACTCACTGACCTAAAAAACACTAACAACAGGGAGCATTACATAAATGATTAACTTTTCTCTTTGAAGTTTGAATGGTTTTTCACATAAATCAGTATTTCATTATAGAATAAGAATAACACCTTTTCACTTTATTGACTGTACTAAAGTATATGTAACAAGAATGATTCAGAAATGCAGCAATTTGCTTCAATAGCCTTTATATTTTCTATATCTTAAAAAAAATATATATATATATATATATATAGTAATTTACTTGTGAAAAATAAAAAGTTTAAACAAAAAACTAATTCCTGAAATTCCAGGACTGCAATAATAATTTAAAAAATAATAATCAACAACATGTATAGTATAATCACTCATACTGTAGAGTACTGTGAGGGTTCTAGTTCTCCCCCTCTCCTGCATTTGGCCACTAGTTCTCATCAACATCACATCTTATTTCTTCTCTGGCCATGCATCTTGGAAAGTATCTTCTGGAATGTCTAATCCAACCCTGGTAGTCTTCAGGAGAAGTGTCTCCACACCCTGCATTCATAGCATCCAGTAAGGACATCTGGTCATGTGGATGATGGTCATAAACCTTCCACCTCCACGCAGAGAAGAACTCCTCTACGGGGTTTAAGAAGGGGGAGTATGGAGGCAGGAATAGTACTGACATTCTGGGATGTGCAGCAAACCAGTCTGTGACTGCAGCAGAGTGGTGGAATGCCACATTATCCCACACAACAACGAAGGTAGAGGAGTTTCTTGCCCCTCTCTCTTCCACTGGCACAAGTCGATTATGCAGGTCATCCAGAAAATAAATGAGCCTCTCTGTATTGTAGGGGCCAATGAGTGGTTTGTGTAACACAAACCATCATTGGACAGTGCTGCACACATTGTGAAATTAGCTCCTCTCTGGCCTGGGACATCCACGGTTATTCTCTGTCCAATCACATTTCTTCCCCGGCTGTGTTTTTTTGCCAGGTTGAATCCAGCTTCATCCACAAAGATGAATGTATGTGCAGTTTGCCTGTCTTCCATCTCCATTACTCTCTAAAATACAGTAAATCCACAGTTTTACAGTACTTTACATTATACATAGCTGTGTATGTACCCTGTTTGGTTATTGAACAGACATCTTACCTGGACATATTGATACCGGAGTTCTTTCACACGTTCACCGTTTCTCTCAAAGGGTACGGTGTACAACTGCTTTATCCTTATTTTATGTTTCTCTAGGACTCTGGCAATTGTCGTTGTGCTGACTGTATTCACATTCCCGAAAGTGATATTGTCTGCCCACAGTTTTATTGCATTGTTGCCAATTACCATGTCAACAATGGCAATTTCCTGCGCATCTGATAATATTCTGGCTCTCCCTCCTGTGGGAGGCAACCTTTGGATTCTACTGAAAAACACAAAACAATCAATATATTTCAAAATGTCAGTACAAAAATGTGAACATACTGTATTGTACTGTAATATGTAGTTCAATTATCATTGAAGGATGCACATCTCACCTGTTGTTTTGCCGGAAAATCTGTACTATTGATGCAACTGTTGAACGCTGGAGATTTGGTTGCACCCTTAAACCGGCCTCTCTCAAAGAGAGACCATGGATTACAATAATAATTGTGGCCCTTATCTCATCAGAGACAACCGCTCTTGCTCTTCCTCTCCTTTGTCCTCCATGCATTCTTCCTCTCCATGCCACTTGTTACGAACCCCGTGGCTTTAAACGTCTAGGGTGGATGGAGAAGAGACCCGTAACATAATTCATGCAAATTAGAATGATGACATGGAACAGTGAGGACAAAAACTACACGACAACCATAAACTACCGTCAAACATAAAAGGTTTATTTTTAAACACACGGTAAAGGTTTGGGAAAAAGGGCTGAGCAGGACCCAAGAAATGAAACAATAGTGTAAAACACCCCTAAACTGATCTTGCCTGCCTCAAGAACCGCTAAGCTACTGCTAATCATACAAAAGTACAGTGGGTGGTCCGCTCAGGTCTAACTAGTGTTTTTAGACAGATTTCTTCCTACGGGTAATGTACGCCCAAGGGCAACTTGCTTAAATTCCCCTTTTCCCAGAAACACACAAAGTTACCAAACAGAGTAACCAGCAAATGAGTGAGTACACAAAACACCACAGTATCCATACTCACATACGGAAATAGTCTCTAACAAAGTTATCAAACAGAGTAACCAGCAACTTAGTGAGTAAACAAAACACAGGACACCACAGTATCCATACTCACATACGGAAATAGTCTCTCTAAGTTACCAAACACAACTGACCGGCTTTTAAACAATGGGATGTGTGATTGAAAAACCAGCAACAGGTGGTGCAATGCAGAGGAATGTTCACTGATTGGTCCACCTTAGCAATCAGCAGACCCCCCAACGACCACCAATCAGGAACATACAGGACACCTGTGATTAGGGCAGAAGGAGAGGAAAAACACAAAAAGACACAGGATACCTGTATCCGTAACACTCCCACCCTTAAAAGAGCAAACCACAATGGTTTGCGATACACGTACCATCACAACACCCAAAATTCAAAGATCAACAGCATCCTGACGGGATAACAAAAAAAACCTAGATCTTTAAACACGAGACAAAGCATCTGCCAACACATTATCCAACCCCTTTTTGTGGCGGATCTCCAAATTATATAATTTTGCACGACAAGTGCCCAACGCATAAGGCGTTGGTTCTGGTTGTACATCCGATGGAGAAAAACTAAGGGGTTATGGTCAGTATACACTATCACTGGTAATGCACTGGAACCAACATAAACTTCAAAGTACTGCAGAGCTAACAACAAAGCTAGAGCTTCTTGTTCAATGGTGGAATAGTTTGTCTGACATTTGTTAAATTTCCGTGAAAAATAACAGACAGGATGGTCCACTCCACTCTGGTCCTGCTGCAGTAGAACAGCACCAGCACCTCTGGCACTTGCATCTACCTCCAGTTTAAACGGTCGTTCAAAATCTGGCGCAGCAAGAACAGGAGTACTACATAAGAGTGCTTTAGCAGTGTTGAAAGCAGTACGACAATCTTCAGACCATACAAATTTTCTCGCCGGACTGAGCAAATCCGTTAATGGAGCAACTACCGCAGAGACATTTTTACAGAAACTACGGTAGTAGCCAACCATCCCTAAAAAGCGGCGTAGCTCTCTTCTGGTGGTAGGTGCGGGAAATGCATTTATAGCTGAGACCTTGGCATCTAGAGGGCGCACCTGACCATGGCCGACCTGTTTACCAAGATAAGTAACAGTGGCCTTCCCAAACTTGCACTTTGCTAAGTTCAGGGTTAGAGAAGCGGCTGCTAGATGTTCACACACTACCCTTAGAGTGTTAACATGATCAGACCACTCAGTTGAATAAATTACCAGATCATCAAGGTAAGCACTACAATCAGGAACTCCAGCCAATACTGTGTTAACCAGGCGTGGAAAGTGGCTGGTGCGTTCCGCATCCCAAATGCCATGACAGCATATTGTAGGAAGTGATCTGGGGTCACAAAGGCAGAGATGTCGGAGGCACGTGAGGTTAACGGCACCTGCCAGTAACCTTTTAGAAGATCTAGTTTGGTTACATAAGTAGCAGCACCAACAGTATCAATACAGTCATCCAGTCTGGGTAACAGGAACGAGTCGGGCACTGTGACAGCATTGACCTTCCGATAGTCCGTACATAATCTGGATGTCCCATCAGGTTTAGGAACCAGAATGCACGGAGAACTCCAAGGACTTGAACTTGGCATAGCCAGGTTATTCTCCAGCAAATAACCGACCTCATCCCTCATTATCTTTCTTTTAGAGACGTTGACACGATAAGCATGTTGCTTGATAGGTGCAGCGTTTCCAACGTTAATGTCATGTTCTAACACATTTGTGCATGTAGGAACATCATTAAAAAGACATGGAAAGCTGTGTAATAGTCTCATAATATCATCTGACTGTCCGCCCGTTAAATGAATCAGGCTTGACGGGAGAGACAGCAGCATCTCTGAATTGGGCAATCTAGCACACTGCTGCTGAGTATTGCGCAACTCCAAACCATCTCCGTCCACATCATTAACATGACCTCCCACTACAGCCGTAGCAGCCATAGAGACAGCCGACTCGGCCAGTTTCTCTGGACTGTCTATCTGAGTGACGGGTCTGGTGTGGTATGTCTTCAACATGTTAACGTGGCACACACGAGATTGGCGTTTTCTATCAGGAGTCTGTATCACGTAGTCAGTTTCACTTAGTTTCTTTTCAATGACATAAGGACCAGAGAAACGTGCTGACAATGACGCTCCTGGCAAAGGCAACAATACAAGAACTTGGTCACCTGGCTGCAGTGAACGAGAAACAGCCTGTGTGTCATAGTGTCGTTTCATCCGTTTCTGTGAGGAAGACAGTGCTTCCTTTGCTAGAGCACAGGCACCATGTAGGCGCTCACGAAAGCGACTAACGTAGTCCAACACATTTTCTTTCACACACAACTCTTGTGACAAAAACTGATCCTTAAGGACTTTCATAGGTCCTCTCATGGTGTGTCCAAACACCAGTTCAGCTGGGCTGAACCCTAGGGATTCCTGTACTGTCTCACGGACAGCAAACAAAACTAGAGGAACTCCCTCATCCCAATCCTTCTCAGATTCCAAGCAATATTTACGGAGCATAGACTTCAGTGTCTGATGCCAACGTTCAAGCGCACCCTGAGACTCTGGGTGATATGCGCTTGACATACGGTGTGTAACTGACAAGGATTTTAACACTTGTTTGAAAAGTTTAGAAAGGAAATTCGTACCCTGATCAGTTTGTATCACCTTAGGTAACCCAAAAGTTGAGAAGAATTTGATCAACGCTTTACTCACCACCGGAGCAGTAATCCTTCGCAGAGGAATGGCCTCTGGGTACCTGGTGGCCACACACATAATCGTCAACATAAACTGGTTACCAGATTTTGTCTTTGGTAATGGTCCAACACAATCAACCATCACATGTTCGAATGGTTCACCTATGGCCGGTATGGGACAAAGAGGCGCGGGGGAAATAACCTGGTTCGGTTTCCCAGTTACTTGACAGGTGTGGCAAGTCCGACAGAACTGAGCCACATCTTGTTTTAAACCAGGCCAAAAGAAATGTCGCAAAACTCGATCATAAGTCTTGGTGACTCCCAGATGTCCGGACCACTGGTGATCATGAGCGAGGGATAAAACATTTTGTCGAAAGGCTGTAGGAATCACTATTTGGTAAACAGCATTCCAATCTCCGCCAGCGTCAACATGGGATGTCCATTTACGCATGAGGAGATTACCATCAATGAAGTATGCCATGTTTTTCTTCTTTAGCTCCTCCTCTGAGACAACATTAGAAAAACATTTAGCCAGGCTAATGTCAACCTTTTGGTTAGCGATCAGCTGCTCACGAGTGACTGGTAACTGTATTGCCTCAGCAACAAGTTCCACATCCTTCTTCCTTTCTCTGGACTGTTGGTCAGACTGCACCAGCTTACCAGAGGTAGCACCCGAACTATCCTCTGGGTCACACTCTCTGAATAGAACCGTGTTCGACAAATCTATCACTTCACCCACTTGTCGTGCTTGAGCACGTGTGACAGCACAAGCGGGGAACACATCTGGATAACCCTGTGCCAGCTCCTCGGAGAGAGACTGGTCACTTTTATCCAATACCTCCAATACGGGTATCACCTTTCCTCCGGCAATATCGTTGCCCATTATAAATGTCACACCTTTTACTGGTAACATAGGACGTACGCCAACTCTGAACACTCCACTGACTAACTCAGAGTGTACGTTCACAAAGTGCAATGGCACTGGGACAAATCCCATTTCAATTCCTTGTTCTAACACACTGGAACCACAATATGTATTATTGGACAAGGGCAACACATCAGATAGTATGAACGACTGCGCCGCACCAGTATCTCTGAGGATTCTAACTGGACGCTGAGACGCTTCGTCATCTGATATAGAAACAAACCCCTCAAAAATGAACGGTTCATAACTGTGATCTGGGACAGGGACTTTCAAACCACATTCACTATGAGGCCTCTGTCTTGATTCCGGCCTTACAACCGTACGAATCAGCCCAACACCCGTTGGCGGCCTGGCGTGCTGAGGCATCCCCTGTTTGCGTTTTAGCAGAAAGCAATCATTAACCATATGTCCCACCTTATGACAATAGAAACAGTGACGCACATCTTTTGGGCGTGCTGGATGTACTGCTGGTCGACTAGGACTAAAAGTTAGCAACTCCGCAGCCCTGCCCTCCGTACGAGCCGAAAACACGCTCTTATGCGTCAACACAAACTCGTCTGCCTCTAGTTTACGCGTCTCCAGTTCTTGATCAAGCCTACGCGTCTCCAGTTCCATCTTACGCGTCTCCAGTTCCTGATCAAGCCTATGCGTTTCCAGCTTGTCTAGCCTGATTTGTGCCCGCTCTTCCGCCTCCATTTGGAGCCGTGTCGAGCGGACATCCATCCTGGCATCACTGTCAGTCAGTGGGGAGAGTGGGTCATAACGGGGCAATGTGGCTGGAGCCTTAGCCTCATCCTCAGACACTGATGGGCTTACAGGAGCAGCAACCACATCCCCTACAGGAGCAGCAGACTCAGGCAGCGGTAACTCAAGCACTCGCTCGTTCAACAATATCTCTAACACTGCTTTCCTCACTTCGGCTTTCACTAAAACCCTTGATATGGGTACAGAAAAGTGGTCAGCCAAAGCCTGTAGATCCACTCTACGGCAATTCTCAAAAACCTCCCACGTAGGGTTTTCCAAAAATGCATCCAACTCAAAAGTAGCCATCCTAAACTAGCAACACGAGCCGTCGAATACTGAACACACAAAAAAAACAGGTAGTTACAGCTGCCAAGCTCAACACTGAACCAGACACTAACTAATTTGCATGAGTAGCATGGGTATCAATGAGAATAATCCCAGACGAACCCCCACATTATGTTACGAACCCCGTGGCTTTAAACGTCTAGGGTGGATGGAGAAGAGACCCGTAACATAATTCATGCAAATTAGAATGATGACATGGAACAGTGAGGACAAAAACTACACGACAACCATAAACTACCGTCAAACATAAAAAGTGTATTTTTAAACACACGGTAAAGGTTTAGGAAAAAGGGCTGAGCAGGACCCAAGAAATGAAACAATAGTGTAAAACACCCCTAAACTGATCTTGCCTGCCTCAAGAACCGCTAAGCTACTGCTAATCATACAAAAGTACAGTGGGTGGTCCGCTCAGGTCTAACTAGTGTTTTTAGACAGATTTCTTCCTACGGGTAATGTACGGCCAAGGGCAACTTGCTTAAATTCCCCTTTTCCCAGAAACACACAAAGTTACCAAACAGAGTAACCAGCAAATGAGTGAGTACACAAAACACAGGACACCACAGTATCCATACTCACATACGGAAATAGTCTCTCTAAGTTACCAAACACAACTGACCGGCTTTTAAACAATGGGATGTGTGATTGAAAAACCAGCAACAGGTGGTGCAATGCAGAGGAATGTTCACTGATTGGTCCACCTTAGCAATCAGCAGACCCCCCCAACGACCACCAATCAGGAACATACAGGACACCTGTGATTAGGGCAGAAGGAGAGGAAAAACACAAAAAGACACAGGATACCTGTATCCGTAACACCACTCTTCTTTCCCCACCAACCTGTCTTCCTTGATCCATGTTTCCAAACATTCCGAAGCCGTCCGCTTCTGTCTGTTTGGTAACGAGACTAAAAGCAGGACACTTGGGTAGGCTTTCAGCTGAAATTGCAATCAGCTGTGTTTGGAATGATGAAATATTCTGCAGAGATTTCCTATATGTATCAATCTGGTTACTGCAGAAATGCACGAAATTTGCAGTTTTTAACAGTTTTGGAAACAGTGTGTTAGCATTTGAAAACGTGCTGCAAATATATAGTTTTGCAGGTGGTGGAGTATGAATGAGAAAAGAGTTCATCGATTTCGGAGAATGTGGTCATTGAATGCATTTTGTGTGAAAGCAATGAAAAATGATTCACAGTTTGGTCCACATACACTTCTGTTTCGCTGACTGTGTGAAGACAATGTGACTTCAGTTTTGACCAATGCATGTTAGCAATTGAAAAAAACCTGTAATCTTTTAGCTGCAGAAATGAAATAAATCACGATCATCATCAATAAAATGAAATAGAGACAGTCGCTGTCCCCCTCTCCTCCCCCAGCTCCGACCCCGGCCCCCAGACAGAGTTCTCCGTCTAAATCGTCGCCGTCTCACGTTAGTGACCACATTGACCACATCAGTGACCCCCCCACAGACGCCACCGACCCCCCCACAGATGACTCGTTCGGCGAGGTGGAGGGCAGCCCCAGTCGCAGTGGAGAGGAGGATGCGGTGAGTGCCTGTGTGTGTGTGCGTGCATGCCCGGAGTGTGTGTGTATGTATTTAGATCTGTTGATGAATAGGCTGTGTAGCAGCACAGTGGGCCAGGTAATTACTCTCTCTGATTGGCCACTCTCATAGCTGGCCAGTGTGTGTGTGTGTGTGTGTGTGTGTGTGTGTGTGTGTGTGTGTGTGTGTGTGTGTGTGTGTGTGTGTGTGTGTGTGTGTGTGTGTGTGTGTGTGTGTGTGTGTGTGTGTGTGTGTGTGTGTGTGTGTGTGTGTGTGTGTGTGTGTGTGTGTGCGCGTGTGTGTGTGTGTGTGTGTGCGCGTGTGTGTGTGCGTGTGGCCAGTAAAGCATTAAATTAGCTGCTTGAAGTGTCAGATAGATCATTAAGATGTTATTAATGTTAGCAGGTGGCTCCATACATCATCTGATCTGTAGCACCATGTTATTATTCAACTATATTAGAGAAAAACCCCTAGGGTCTTTTCTAGGTCAATTAATATTTATTATTCACCTAATCTAAGAGAGGATGAGGAGAGAGGAGAGAGGAGAGAGAGAGAGAGAGAGCGATAGAGAGAGCTCGAAGAGACGAGAGATAGATATATCGCTACGAGTCATCTTAGCTCTCGAGTCAAAAGCCATTCCGCTCCACGGCTGTGCTAATGAGAGCGCTGTAGGTAGACACTTGGAGTAGAAAAATTGGACAGAAAACAGGGCAGTGAGCAAGAGATACTTAGAGAGAGAGGAATGGGAGGAGACTATTTTGAATGAAAGCACTGGAGTCACCAACCTGACAATGGTGAAAGAACTGAATTGGAAGCTATGCCTTCTACCATTGATTCTGTAGACCGTTAATTCCAAAGTATCTCCCCCTCTCCTCTCTCTCTCTCTCTCTCTCTCTCTCTTGCTCTCTGACAGAGGGGTAACTCAGCTGAACCAGGGGGATCCAGATATTTTTCCATATTGCGAGAGGGCGGAGAGAAAGAGAGAGAGAAAGGGAGAGAGAGAGGGGGTGGGAGAGAAAGAGAGAGAGAGACAGGGAGAGAGAGAGGAACAGAGAGAGAGAAACAGCCTCCCACTCTGTGGTGAGGGAGTTATTGTAAAGAGATGAAGTTTTTCAGGAATCAGTAGAGGGGACTTTTATAACAGCTCAGTGTGTGTGGGTGTGTCCATCCTTTCTCTCCTTTAGTACACTGCTACTCTGTCCCTTTGCTGTCAGTATTCTCCTATTTTATTATCCTGCTTTCACCTTTTTCTCTTTTTCTATCTTCCCTTACTTCCCTGCTCTTCCCTCTCCTCTCCTCTCCTCTCCTCTCCTCTCCTCTCCTCTCCTCTCCTCTCCTCTCCTCTCCTCTCCTCTCCTCTCCTCTCCTCTCCTCTCCTCTCCTCTCCTCTCCTCTCCTCTCCTCTCCTCTCCTCTCCTCTCCTCCCTCCATCCCTCTCTCCAGGCGTGTGGGTCTGGGTCTCCGTGTCCCAGTGAGACAGCAGGTTCTAGTCCAGCCCAGACCAGTCCACCTGCCGACAGCTAGATAGATGCTGGCTGGGTGCTTGGTAGGTCTCTTTCCCTCCTTCCTCCCCTCCTTCCTCTGCTTGCTGTCAGCCTGACTGTTGCAAGCACACCTTTTCTGATCTTCAGTTCACCCGCTCTACTCTCTCTCTCCAGTCTTCCCTTTTAATCTCTCCCTTCTCTCATCCTGCCTGCTGCTTGCTCGGATGATGGCATGATGTGTCTGACTGCCTGTGGTCCTGTTGTGTGGTTCTGCACCTGCGTGTGTGTGTGTGTTGTCTTGTTGTGTCTCTTTGTTTGCTCTCCCTATAGCCACCAGAGGTGTGTGAGTATTACTGCAGTGTGTGTATTTAAAAACAATCTGATGACTTCCTTAATGTGCATGGCCATGCTGTCATGATATTGTGTTGTGTTTGTCATGCATACAGTGAGGGAAAAAAGTATTTGATCCCCTGCTGATTTTGTAAGTTTGCCCACTGACAAAGAAATGATCAGTCTATCATTTTAATGGTAGGTTTATTTGAACAGTGAGAGACAGAATAATAACAACAAAATCCAGAAAAACACATGTCAAAAATGTTATAAATTGATTTGCATTTTAATGAGGGAAATAAGTATTTGACCCACTCTCAATCAGAACGATTTCTGGCTCCCACGTGTCTTTTATACAGGTAACGAGCTGAGATTAGGAGCACACTCTTAAAGGGAGTGCTCCTAATCTCAGTTTGTTACCTGTATAAAAGACACCTGTCCACAAAAGCAATCAATCAATCAGATTCCAAACTCTCCACCATGGCCAAGACCAAAGAGTTCCCCAAGGATGTCAGGGACAAGATTGTAGACCTACACAAGGCTGGAATGGGCTACAAGACCATCGCCAAGCAGCTTGGTGAGAAGGTGACAACAGTTGGTGCGATTATTCGCAAATGGAAGAAACACAAAAGAACTGTCAATCTCCCTTGGCCTGGGGCTCCATGCAAGATCTCACCTCGTGGAGTTGCAATGATCATGAGAATGGTGAGGAATCAGCACAGAACTACACGGGAGGATCTTGTCAATGATCTCAAGGCAGCTGGGACCATAGTCACCAAGAAAACTATTGGTAACGCACTACGCCATGAAGGACTGAAATCCTGCAGCGCCCACAAGGTCTCCCTGCTCAAGAAAGCACATATACAGGCCCGTCTGAAGTTTGCCAATGAACATCTGAATGATTCAGAGGAGAACTGGGTGAAAGTGTTGTGGTCAGATGAGACCAAAATCGAGCTCTTTGGCATCAACTCAACTCGCCGTGTTTGGAGGAGGAGGAATGCTGCCTATGACCCCAAGAACACCATCCCCACCGTCAAACATGGAGGTGGAAACATTATGCTTTGGGGGGGGGGGGGGGGTTCTGCTAAGGGGTCAGGACAACTTCACCGCATCAAAGGGACGATGGACAGGGCCATGTACCGTCAAATCTTGGATGAGAACCTCCTTCCCTCAGCCAGGGCATTAAAAATGGGTTGTGGATGGGTATTCCAGCATGACAATGACCCAAAACACACGGCCAAGGCAACAAAGGAGTGGCTCAAGAAGAAGCACATTAAGGTCCTGGAGTGGCCTAGCCAGTCTCCAGACCTTAATCCCATAAGAAATCTGTGGAGGGAGCTGAAGGTTCGAGTTGCCAAACGTCAGGCTCGAAACCTTAATGACTTGGAGAAGATCTGCAAAGAGGAGTGGGACAAAATCCCTCTTGAGATGTGTGCAAACCTGGTGGCCAACTACAAGAAACGTCTGACCTCTGTGATTGCCAACAAGGGTTTTGCCACCAAGTATTAAGTCATGTTTTGCAGAGGGGTCAAATACTTATTTCCCTCATTAAAATGCAAATCAATTCATAAAATTTTTGACATGCGTTTTTCTGGATTTTGTTGTTGTTATTCTGTCTCTCACTGTTCAAATAAACCTACCATTAAAATTATAGACTGATCATGTCTTTGTCAGTGGGCAAACGTACAAAATCAGCAGGGGATCAACTAAGCTACTACCTGGGCGGGCAGGTATCTTAGTGTTTAAGAGCGTTGTGCCAGTAACCGAAAGGTTGCTGGTTCTAATCCCCGAGCCGACTAGGTGAAAAAATCTGTCGATGTGCCCTTGAGCAAGGCACTTAACCCTAATTGCTCCTGTAAGTCGCTCTGGATAAGAGCGTCTGCTAAATGTACTTTTTTCCCTCACTGTAGCTACATCTTTGCCATGGAATAAATATTGCGATACTGGTACCGTCACAGCCCTAGTATATTTTATGGTATATAATGGGACGTAAAATGTATATATCCTAGAATGCCTATCAGGTTAACGGAATGTTTTGCATTGAGAGACTTTCCACCAATGGCAGTGGCTTTACATGATCTCTGACACAATGAAGCTGCTTATAGAACTGTGTGTGTAAGGATAGGGGTGTCAGTAAGGCCCACACACAGGGAACTATGTAATGACAGTGTTTTCATCACTGATACTGGGCTGCCACCACTAATGACTGGCTGCTATTCATTTACATTAATGAAATCCCATGAAGAATCCTAAACCCAATCACCACTCTCCTCCATCAAACCTGCTGGGATATATTCTCCCATTCAAGTCTCCCACATAAACACACATGCGCGCACGTACACACTTTCACATGCACGCCCGTACACACACACTGCTGTAGGAGGGAGGCAGACTTGAGTCATAATAACTCCCAGTCAGACACACACACACACATACACACACACACACACATATATTTTATGGCCTGGGAATTGCCAGGGACCTCACGATACAATATTATTGCGATACTTAGGTGCCAATACGATATGTATTGCTATTCAATACTGTGATTTTAATGTGATTCCATGGTCCAAACGTATTGCTAACCATATGTCTGCTGCAGAGAGACAAGAGAGAGCCATGAGAAAACGAGTGTTGATCAGTCATGGAAATGGAAGTGCTGAAAACAAATTGGCTCCCTATTTAAAAAGAAGATGGAGAACAAGCTTTTAAGGAAAAATAATGGAGTTTTGGTGCAGGTACAGCCAACTAGAGCAAAAGTTATATTGCGGTATTGTTAAAACATTACGATACGATATATCGTCAAAAAGAATATCCCGATATGTAACTGTATTGATTTCTTCCATCACTAACGCTCTATCTATGCATACAACAATACACTCGACCCAGCAACATGGCTGTTCTCTCTGTCTGTAGCAGGGTGATACTGTCCTCTGGTGTTGACAACAGGAACTGCATGTGTTGAAGCTGGGATTTGAGACTCTAGGGAGTAGGTAGGCAGAAGAGGACCTGGCCAGACCCGGGTCCAAATACATATACTTTTAGCGTTTGCTTGAGTCTACCTGGAGTGCCACATGGGTAGGGTTTGCGGTTTTGGGACTTGTATACTGGTTTGATAAGCCAGGCAAGCTCAAACAGGCACAAATAAAGTATTTGAAACCCAGGTCTGGTTCAGACCAAGTGGGTCATGGTAATGCTAACATGCTAACAGTACCTCCTCTCTGTCTGTCACCAGGGGAAGGATCTCTGTCTGCAGGGGAAGGATCCTCTCTACGCCCAGGTCAACAAAGGGAAGAAATAAAGAGACACACTGAACACTGGACTGACCAACCAACGCTGACCAACCAACCTGATGTGTGTGTGTTACTCCTCTCAAGCAGCAGCCTGGCCTCCCCTCTAACAAGGATGGAACACTCCATCTACTCCCTCTACTCTCCTTTCATTCATTCCTTTCATCTCTCTGTCTCTCTCTCTCTCTCCCTCCATCAAACGTTGCTAGAGACTATGCTGCCAAAAGGGGACGGGGCCAAGCATTGTCTCCCTTCCTAACACACACACAGCGTTATCAGACATGGACAAAATTAGTGTCTGTAGCGAGTGGATCCTGTGGGACAAGCCAGGAATGGTATGCTGGGATCCTTATTTCTGATTAGCCGGTTTATTGGGATCTGATTGGCTGTTTGGGTGTTTCACCTTCATGTGAGCGTCTGCTGGATGACTATGCAGAAACAGACTCTCTGGGAGCTGCTCACACACACACACACACGCACACACACACACACACACACACACAGTGTTTTGCCAAATGTCTCTTCTCAGACAGATTCAGAGGGAAGGCTTCAGAGTGAATGGACTCAGCGGGGCATGGATGTTGCCAGCCTAACCGGCACCGCCTGGCATGGACAAACATTGCCAAATTACCGGGTACCCCCGCCTTCGGATGGATGTTGCCAAACAAACTGATTCTGTGATTGAACTGCTCATTCTCTATAATAGCTTTTGTACAATATGGATTAAAACAGACAAAGGGAAATTGAGTTTTTATTTTATAAGTCCATCAAGACGCTCTACTGTCAGCTCTACTGGAGTTGCACAGTCACATGGCTTTAAGAGACCTGATCGTTGGTTTGCCAAACTCATTTAGTAAATAATAATAATACTAACAACAACAATGATAATTCTGTCTGCAGGACTTCTGTGCCATAAAATAGGCAGGCTTCAGTTATGCAACCAGAAGGTATCAAGCAATACCAACATCTCCTCTGTCTGTCTGTCCAGGTTTCTGTTGCTCTCTCAACCCCTGATGTTGTTCGGTGTATGATCCTATAAGTGTCTTTCCCTAACTCAGACCTTGTCTCTACTGCAGTCCTTCATTGATCAATATCCATGTGCCCTGTAACCTCTTACAGTCATACCATCATCCCGTCTGTGCTTCATATAATCTCTCAGTCTGAGGGACAGGAGCCTTACCCATCATCACAACTACACCAGACACTCCCTACAGCTGTCTGTCTGTCATCGGCCCCTAACCTTGCTTGTCTCTGTCTCCATGTCCGTCTGTCTGCCGGTCTATCCGTCCGTCTGTCTCTGCTAGTACTACATCAACTGTGATGCCAATGACTCCCTATTTTATGGCCAGAGTCTCTGTGTAATTAGACCGCTCTGGACTGACACCTGATTAATAACGATGTTTGGACAATAGAAGAAGAATGTGAAGAAGATGAGGAAGTGGACTAAAAGGGAAACATGCTGTTTGATTACGTAACATTTCTAGACATATTTTAACCTTACCTCAGATAACGGTTTCTTAATGTAAATTGACACATTATTTTTATCTTTATGAATACAACAGCATTCTACAGTGAATTTTTAGAAGACTATTCTTTTCTGTTGATTTACGTCTCCACCATGTATTACTGTTCCTATTAAACACATCCCAATGACAGCTGGGTCCGGGTGATCACTGTGCATGTGGCGTGTCTGTACCTCATCTCTTTGTCTTCTCTCACCTGCCTGACAGACAGTGACACCTATCTGTCAACATAGGATGGCTTTAATGATGGTTTAGTAGACTAATTGTATGAATAATATCCTACAGTACACATGTACTGTATGTTTCTCTAACTAGCCATATTAAGTACACATAACCTATTATTATGTCCCAAGTTTTTACACATCCATTTAAATCTGTGTGTTTCTGTATCTTGTATGGTTTGTGTCTTCTGAATGCAGTTTAAATACACCTGTTCTTGGAATGCTGACAGACTCCTCAAGCTGTCTTTTTTCACTGTCTCTGTTTGTCTGGAAGACGTAATATAGCTCGCTATAGGCAACATGGGCATTGGCCTACATAGGCACACACAGCAATAGGATATAAGATATCACGTCGGTGTCATTTACCTCTGCCTAACATTTGTCAAATGGCTAAACTGTAATAGCCTATTTCATTGTGGTTGGAAAACAATCGCGATTCTATGGCACCAGCTGCGAGGAATGACACACACACACACACATACACTGCATGCCGGACAACATTCCTGTTGGATGAAAGCTGTCAGACAGTTAATCATACACGTTGCGTTGAACTGCCTTGCGCTCTCGACACTGAAGGACCAGTTTAACTAGACCGACCGTTTCTGCGATGTGCGCGTGAATATTTCTATGAGCGCGAGAGAGAGAATTCCAACCTGACTTCAAACCTACAACCAAACCATTCATCCCTGAAGCTAAGAAACACATGCTGAGAGAGAATAGGTCAATGTAAGGGTCTGTAGACTAACCTAATCCTCTATTAGTAGGTGAGAACAGTAACATTTGCCGGTAGCCTCCTGGACTGTTGACACTGGGGAAAGTTATTCAGAGTTATTGTATTGACTGTTTTGTGTAACTGCTTGGTGTACGGACGTTAAAGGAAATAGCCAGAATGAGAGGCTGAAGCTGCCACCTGGATAAAGCGAGAATAGAGGTGGAACAAGGCTACCCATTGCTGTCTGTCTCCGGTTGAATTACGCACGATGGACCAGGTAAAACGTATATGGTGTTATTACACAGACAGTATTAAGACTCATCTCATTCTCTCTCTCTCTCACAGACGCACACAGCGCCGTGATGTTATAATGCAGATCGTTATCGTGGTTCACAAGAGTTAAAGTAAAGTCCTGCGCCACAGTTACATTTTGTATTACTGTAAAACGTTAGTTAGATATGGAGTTGGCATGATGCCCATGCTTCTTGTCTCAACAACTATTAGTTGGTGGTTCTGCTCTCTGGTTTATTGCTAGATGTGGCTGTTTACCTGTAGAGTCGATGTCAGCGCCCCAGCGGAAACCTAATTAGCATAATAATAAATAATTCCCATCAAAATCAGTCTGTTTAAACTAGAGATTTTTTGCATGGGCTGCGTCTCAATCAACTGCATCCGCCAATGGCGGCCTTCCACATCAGTGGTGGAAGGTGGCTGAGCTACAGCAGTGTTTGTCAGACCATGAGACATCCCAAAAACGGTTTGGACTACAAACTAATACTCTATGGAAAGATGAGAGTCTCAGGAACACCATGGTGTTCTCGGTTTTGCTCTATGACCCCCACAAGCGTCATGGGACTAGTCTGAAGTTGGTACCACTGATCTGCCAACTTCTGTCTGTAGTCTCTGAACAGCTTGGGTGAGATTCTCAAGAACATGTACATGTTGGTTGTTTTGCTCTGGGACCCCCACAAGCCTCACAAGACTCTTCTGAAGGTAGCCCGGTACCAGTTTGAAAAATGAATGGAAGTACAGTACCTTCAGAAATTATTCATACCCCTTGACTTATTCCAAAAAGAATTGTGTTACAGCCTGAATTCAAAATGGATTAAAACAAATGGTTTTCTCACCCATCTACACACCACACTACCCCATAATGACAAAGTAAAAACATGTTTTTAGAAATGTTTGTAAATGTATTGAATAAGTATTCACACCCAAGAGTCAACATTTTGCAGAAGCACCTTTGGCAGTGATTACAGTTTTCTGGGTAAGTCTCTAAGCGCTTTCCACACCTGGATTGCGCAACACTTGCCCATTATTATTTTCAGAAACTCCAGTGTAGGTTTGGCCTTGTGTTTTAGGTTATTGTCCTGCTGAAAGGTGAATTCATCTCCCAGTGTCTAGTGGAAAGCAGACTGAACCAAGTTTTCCTTTAGGATTTTGCCTTTGCTTAGCTCCATTCCGTTTCTTTTTTATCCTTTAAAGCTCCCCAGTCCTTAACTATTACAAGCATACCAATAACATGATGCAGCCACCAATATGCTTGAAAATATGGAGAGTGGTACTCAGTAATGTGTTGTATTGGATTTGCCCCAAACATAGCACGTTGTATTCAGGACAAAAGTGAATTGCTTTGCCACATTTTTTGCAGTATTACTTTAGAGCCTTGTTGCAAACAGGATGCATGTTTTGGAATATTTTTATTCGGTACAAGCTAGATGTTTTAAAGTCACCATTGGCCTCATGGTGAAATCCCTGAGCGGTTTCCTTCCTCTCCAGTAACTGAGTTAAGAAGGACACCTGTATGTTTGCAGTGACTGGGTTTATTGATACACCATCCAAAGTGTAATTAATAACTTCACCATGCTCAAAAGGATATTCAATGTCTACTTATTTTTTATTTTTTACCCATCTACCAATAGGTGCCCTTCTTTGTGAGGCATTGGAAAACCTCCCTGGTCTTTGTGGTTGAATCTGTGTTTGAAATTCACTGCTCGACTGAGGGACCTTATAGATAATTGTATGTGTGGGTTACAGAGATGAGGTAGTCATTCAAAAATCTTGTTAAACACTATTATTGCACACAGAGTGAGTCCATGCAACGTACAGTGGGGAAAAAAAGTATTTAGTCAGCCACCAATTGTGCAAGTTCTCCCACTTAAAAAGATGAGAGAGGCCTGTAATTTTCATCATAGGTACACGTCAACAATGACAGACAAATTGAGGAAAAAAAATCCAGAAAATCACATTGTAGGATATTTAATGAATTTATTTGCAAATTATGGTGGAAAATAAGTATTTGGTCACCTACAAACAAGCAAGATTTCTGGCTCTCACAGACCTGTAACTTCTTCTTTAAGAGGCTCCTCTGTCCTCCACTCGTTACCTGTATTAATGGCACCTGTTTGAACTTGTTATCAGCATAAAAGACACCTGTCCACAACCTCAAACAGTCACACTCCAAACTCCACTATGGCCAAGACCAAAGAGCTGTCAAAGGACACCAGAAACAAAATTGTAGACCTGCACCAGGCTGGGAAGACTGAATCTGCAATAGGTAAGCAGTTTGGTTTGAAGAAATCAACTGTGGGAGCAATTATTAGGAAATGGAAGACATACAAGACCACTGATAATCTCCCTCGATCTGTGGCTCCACGCAAGATCTCACCCCGTGGGGTCAAAATGATCACAACAACGGTGAGCAAAAATCACAGAACCACACGGGGGGACTTAGTGAATGACCTGCAGAGAGCTGGGACCAAAGTAACAAAGCCTACCATCAGTAACACACTACACTGCCAGGGAATCAAATCCTGCAGTGCCAGACGTGTCCCCCTGCTTAAGCCAGTACATGTCCAGGCCCGTCTGAAGTTTGCTAGAGTGCATTTGGATGATCCAGAAGAGGATTGGGAGAATGTCATATGGTCAGATGAAACCAAAATAGAACCTTTTGGTAAAAACTCAACTCGTCGTGTTTGGAGGACAAAGAATGCTGAGTTGCATCCGAAGAACACCATACCTACTGTAAAGCATGTGGGTGGAAACATCATGCTTTGGGGCTGTTTTTCTGCAAAGGGACCAGGACGACTGATCCGTGTAAAGGAAACAATGAATGGGGCCATGTATCGTGAGATTTTGAGTGAAAACCTCCTTCCATCAGCAAGGGCATTGAAGATGAAACGTGGCTGGGTCTTTCAGCATGACAATGATCCCAAACACACCGCCCGAGCAACGAAGGAGTGGCTTCGTAAGAAGCATTTCAAGGTCCTGGAGTAGCCTAGCCAGTCTCCAGATCTCAACCCCATAGAAAATCTTTGGAGGGAGTTGAAAGTCTGTGTTGCCCAGCGACAGCCCCAAAACCTCACTGCTCTAGAGGAGATCTGCATGGAGGAATGGGCCAAAATACCAGCAACAGTGTGTGAAAACCTTGTGAAGACTTACAGAAAACGTTTGACCTGTGTCATTGCCAACAAAGGGTATATAACAAAGTATTGAGAAACTTTTGTTATTGACCAAATACTTATTTTCCACCATATTTTGCAAATAAATTCATAAAAAATCCTACAATGTGATTTTCTGGATTTTTTTTCCTCAATTTGTCTGTCATAGTTGACGTGTACCTATGATGAAAATTACAGGCCTCTCTCATCTTTTTAAGTGGGAGAACTTGCACAATTGGTGGCTGACTAAATACTTTTTTTCCCCACTGTATTATGTGACTTGTTAAGCACATTTTTACTCCTGAACTTATTTATTCTTGCCATAACAAGGGGGTTGAATACTTATTGACTCAATACATTTCAGCTTTTCATTTTGAATTCATTTGTAAAAATTTAGAAAAACATAATTCCACTTTAACATTATGGGTTATTGTGTTTAAGCCAGTGACAAAACATCTCAATTTAATACATGTTTAATTCAGGCTATAACACAACAATGTGAAAAAAAGTCAAGTGGTGTGAATACTTTCTGAAGGCACTATATACAGTCGTGGTCAAAAGTTTTGAGAATGACACAAATATTAATTTTCACAAAGTCTGCTGCCTCAGTTTTTATGATGGCAATTTGCATATACTCCAGAATGTTATGAAGAGTGATCAGATGAATTGCAATTAATTGCAAAGTCCCTCTTTGCCATGAAAATGAACTTAATCCCCAAAAAACATTTCCACTGCATTTCAGCTCTGCCACACAAGGACCAGCTGACATCATGTCAGTGATTCTCTCGTTAACACAGGTGAGAGTGTTGACGAGGACAAGGCTGGAGATCACTCTGTCATGCTGATTGAGTTAGAATAACAGACTGGAAGCTTTAAAAGGAGGGTGGTGCTTGAAATCATTGTTCTTCCTCTGTTAACCATGGTTACCTGCAAGGAAACACGTGCCGTCATCATTGCTTTGCACAAAAAGGGCTTCACAGGCAAGGATATTGCTGCTAGTAAGATTGCACCTAAATCACCCATTTATCGGATCATCAAGAACTTCAAGGAGAGAGGTTCAATTGTTGTGAAGAAGGCTTCAGGGTGCCCAAAAAAGTCCAGCAAGAGCCAGGACCGTCTCCTAAAGTTGATTCAGCTGTGGGATCGTGGCACCACCAGTGCAGAGCTTGCTCAGGAATGGCAGCAGGCAGGTGTGAGGGCATCTGCAAACACAGTGAGGCGAAGACTTTTGGAGGATGGCCTGGTGTCAAGAAGGGCACTGAGGAAGCCACTTTTCTCCAGGAAAAACATCAGGAACAGACTGATATTAAATCGCTCTGGATAAGAGCGTCTGCTAAATGACTAAAATGTAAATGTAAATATTCTGCAAAAGGTATTAAAGGTATATAAACGGGATTGGACTGCTGAGGACTGGGGTAAAGTCATTTTCTCTGATGAATCCCCTTTCCGATTGTTTGGGGCATCCGGAAAAAAGCTTGTCCGGAGAAGACAAGGTGAGCGCTACCATCAGTCCTGTGTCATGCCAACAGTAAAGCATCCTGAGACCACTCATGTGTGGGGTTGCTTCTCAGCCAAGGGAGTGGGCTCACTCACAATTTTGCCTAAGAAGACAGCCATGAAGAAAGAATGGTACCAACACATCCTCCGAGAGCAACTTCTCCCAACCATCCAAGAACAGTTTGGTGATGAACAATGCCTTTTCCAGCATGATGGAGCACCTTGCCATAATGCAAAAGTGATAACTAAGTGGCTCGGGGAACAAAACATCAACATTTTGGGTCCATGGCAAAGGAAACTCCACAGACCTTAATCCCATTGAGAACTTGTGGTCAATCCTCAAGAGGCGGGTGGGCCAAACAAAAACCCACAAATCTGACAAACTCCAAGCATTGATTATGCAAGAATGGGCTGCCATCAGTCAGGATGTGGCCCAGAAGTTAATTGACAGCATGCCAGGGCGGATTGCAGAGGTCTTGAAAAAGAAGGGTCAACACTGCAAATATTGACTCTTTGCATAAACTTAATGTAATTGTCAATAAAAGCCTTTGACACTTATGGAATGCTTGTAATTATACTTCAGTATACCATAGTAACATCTGACAAAAATATCTAAAAACACTGAAGCAGCAAACTTTGTGAAGACCAATACTTGTGTCATTCTCCAAACTTTTGACCACGACTGTACACTGAGTGTACAAAACATTAAGAACACCTGCTCTTTCCATGATATAGACTGATTAGGTGAATCCAGGTGGAAGCTATGATCCCTTATTGATGTAACTTGTTAAATCCTCTTCAATCAGTGTAGATGAAGGGGAGGAGACAGGTTAAAGAAGGATTTTCTTAGTTGTTGAGACATGGATTGTGTATGTGCACCATTCAGAGGATGAATGGGCAAGACAAAAGATTTAAGTGCCTTTGAACGGGTTATGGTAGTAGGTGCCAGCCGCACCGGTTTGTGTCAAGAACTGCAATGCTGCTGGGTTTTTCATGCTCAACAGTTTCCCTTGTGTATCACGAATGGTCCTCCAAGCATTGGAGTCAACATGGGCCAGCATCCCTATGGAACGCTTTTGACATCTTGTAGACGAATTGAGGCTATTCTGAGGGCCAAAGGTGGGTGGGGGGGGGGGGGTTAGATATAGGATATAGGACAGACGCTTTAAAACAACATCCTTTTTTATACCTAAAACGGTCCTAAAATTCATAATCAAATAGCTAAATGATCCTTGGTATGACCATCTTAAAACAATTCCAACAACCCCTCCCCCCCCCCACTGGCTTAGACTTAGATTTGATTAAATGTCACATTATTTAGTGCATTTTATTTGAAATCTCTGTCTTTATCTCTCAGTGTGTGTGTGTATGGATGGCAGAGATATGATGTGGTATAGCAGGCCAGAGGGATTAATGCTAAAGCTGGTTACTGCTCCGTCAACCTTCTCACCGCAGCTCTGAGTTACACACACACACACACACACACACACACACACACACACACACACACACACACACACACACACACACACATACAGCCCCAGGCCCCCTGACCTATACCTCTATTGCCCCCATGCCCTCATCTAAAAGAATTAGGCTTCTACGGGTTTCTATTGGCAGTTTTGGTGCGAAAGGGCCTGGACGATGCTTTATGGGTTGTGCACCCCGCCTTGAAAATTATCTAGGGGGAACACTGGATGATCCGGTCACTTTGTTTTATCTTATGTTGAATTAGACTATGAAAAGAAAGAGAGAGAGAGTGGGACAGTTAGGGAGGGCTCAAAGATAACCTGTGATTTGAAATTCAATTATGATTCCTTAGTCTTTCTCAGGTATGAGGTACCTGTTTTCCACCCATCTCACCCCCTCCCCTCTGTTATCTCTCTCTCAGGAAGAACACTGTCTGGACTTCAAGTCCTTGAGGGCAAAGTACCAGGATGAGGAAGTGCTGCTGAAGCAGCCGAGGACCAAACCTGCCCTTCCTTTGAAACCTAAAGTCCTGTCCCCTCCTCACAGCCCTACAAACTCCCTTCCTTCCTTCAGCCCCACATCACACACACCCTCCAACTCACACGCCCTACCGCCCGGAGCTCGACCCTCCCTCCTCTCCTCCCTCCAGGGGAAGGGTGGCTTCGCACCCCGAGTCATCTTCGAGGAGAAGGAAAAGAAGTTAAAGGGAAAAGATCTGCTGGACCAGAAACAGAAGATAGAGGCAGACCTAGTCATGAAGAACAAGAAGGTGTCCCTGCTGTCCCCTAGGGGGTCTAATAGGGGCAGTGTCGAGCTGGTAGACGCGTCACCACCGCCCATAAACGCAACAGAGAAGAAGAAGGGTTTTCGGGGCATCAGGAAGCCTGTGAAATCAGGGAAGAAAGGGAAGGAGGGGAAAGGTGAGTTTCCTCCTCTCCCCATGTTGGACATAGCCAGCCCAGACATGGCTGGCCCTGAACCTCTCATCGCTCTAACCACCTTCAGAACCCCATCACACCCTGCTAATATACCCATACCAACCGCCCTCATCCCACCGGCCCCGGCAGCACACATTGCCCGCTTACCCCCTGCCCCAATACCTGCCCCAGTACTAGATGCCCGCTTAACCCCTGAGCTGTTACCCTCCACCCTGATGCCTGCACCAGCAGCTGAAACCATTACAGTCGTAACACCACCCGACCCCCCTACCCTGGAGGTAGAAACCCCAGCTGAGACCATCCCAGCCCCCACCCTGGCTGTATTAGTTCCCCCCAGCCCTACCCCTTCCCCTGTTCCTGCCCCACCCAGCCCAGTACCAACTCCCCCAGTCACCCCTAACCCCTCTGCTATCCCCACCCCACGACCACCCACTATCGCCACCCCATCCCCACCTGCAATCCCCACCCTACCACCACCCACTATAGCCACCCCACGTCGACCTGTTATTGCCACGCCACCCCAACCCGCTGACCCTACCCCCTCTCCTCCTCCACCTCCCCCTACACCTACACCTCCAGCTCCTGAACCTGAGTCTGTAGTAGTGGATGCTGCTGTTGTAGTCGAGGCCTCTGCCTCTACGTCTCCCTCTCACACCCCCCCTCCCCCAGCGGTGGACCCCCCAGTCACACACCCGTCCCCCCAGCCTGAGAGGCCCGTGTTGGTCCAGGAACGACCACTCTCAGCCCTGTCGGCTCTAGGGCGAGCAGAGGAAATGATTCCACAAAAAAAAAGAGGATCAGAGATAATATTCAATGCTCTGGAGAAGGCCAAGAGGAAGTTCGCCAGGTACACAGTATACCTTTAATACATACACATTAACGTTAACATCAACTATCCTAACATACTATCCTAACATACTATCCTAACATATTATCCTAACATATACTGTCTCAGTCAGACAGGGAATAAGGTGACATTGACAGTTGTGTTTACAGATTTAGTAGCGTTTCCTGTCCATTGTTCATCCCCAGTCGCTTTAGATAAGAGTCTGCTAAATAACCATATTGTTATTATTACCTTATAATTAACTCCATCTCTTTTCCCCTTTTCCCCTTTGACCACCCCCACCCCCTCCAGCCCTGACACCTCCACCATAGAGGACCAACCCCCACTCCCCCACAAATCCCTCCCTGAGCTCCCACCAATCGACTACGATGACCAGGCCAGGGCGGGGCCCCCTACACCCCTGAAACCGGCCCTGGACAACGGTGTTGACGTTAGTAAGTGTCTCACTCCATCTCTCTTTCCCTGAGGCTCCTGTTCTCTCTCTTCCCCGCTCTTTCTTTCATTCTATATATCTCTATCTGTTTTCTGTTGACTCTGCTTTTGTACTCACTCTGAACATGAAGTACACAGGAGTGCAGCTCACCCCCTACACCCTAGGTAAGACTTTGCATGGTGTCATTATTATTTTAGAGGAATAGTTTAGATATCTTAAGAGGGTGTCAGCTAGGCTGGTATGCAGGAGGTCAGGTATGCTGCTGGATCTAGGCTGCCAGAGAGTCCCTGGCCTGCAGCAGGTGTTATATGGTTGTTGTTGCAAAGCTGCAGACACTAAACAGCAGAGCAGGTAGAATACCGCTCTGTGCCAGAAACAACTTTGTCTTGAGGAGGGCGGAGGGGAAGGAGGATGGGGAAGCAGGGTTGGGTAGGTTACTTTCTAAATGTAATCCATTATAGTTACTAGTTACCTGTCCATAATTGATATCAATAATTACCCAAACTCAGTTACGTAATCTGATTACTTTCTGTTACTTGTGGATTACTTTCCCCTTAAGAGGCATTAGAAGAAGACAAAAAGGATCCATCAAACGCATTTGGTGTGTCATCATAGTGGTCTCTGACTTGTGGTTAGACTCGCTCAGGTGGAACAAACATAAAACTTGCGCCTTTTTCCAATGCTGAATTGAATGTCATAATGTATTTTTTCGCAAACATACTTCCTGAATTGAAAAGTAATTCAAGAAGTTAGCATCTAGTTTTTCAAAAGTATCTGTAATCTGATTACAATATTTTAGCTGGTGACGTAACTGATTAAAGTTAGTTTTTTTGAAATTAGATTACATTTAACTGATTACATTAAATCAGTTACTCCCCAACCCTGTGGGGAAGTGAGGAGGAGGAAAGGGGAAGGAAGAGAGTGGGAGAGTAGGGCGTAGGAGAGGAAGAGAAGGGGAGAGTAGGGTGGAGAAAGAGAGGTATTTAAACTATCTTCGGTGTGTCACTGTGGGGCAACTGTGTCTTGTGTTCTAACTCTCTTGTTGGTGATGATTACATAGTTTTAAGTTGAAGAATGTTGTTATCAGTAAATCAGAGTGTTCCTCCTGTCTGACTCAGTGAACAGGCCAGTACAACCGCTCAGACTCTCGCTTCACAGCGTTACACTACAACAAAACAATAACCTACACACTGTAGTTTTCACTGCTTTAGCATTCTTAATATTGAATAGGTTTGGGCGGTATCCAGATTTTCATACCTTCATACCGTTCCTGTGCCATACCGGGGTATACAGTATTATAGGCAGTGCACACAAGGGGCTCTATTTCTTTCCAGGAGGGGATTGATTGTCTCTACTGTGACCAAGAAGCTTGATCTTGCAAGCTACCCACTTTGCTAGCAAGTTAAGCAAACCAAATGCATAGCTGGAGTCCTGTTGCCATAAGGGCGCAAGGTAGCCTAGCGGTTAAGAGCATTGCGCCAGTAGCCGAAAGGTCGCTTGTTTGAATCCCTGGGTGAAAGATGTGTCCTTGAGCAAGGCACTTAACCCTAAATTGCTCCTGTAAGTAACTCTGGATAATAGTGTCTGCTAAAATGTAAGGTTAGGAGTATGGTTAGGTTTAAAATCACATTTTAAGAGGATAAATTGTAGAAATAGCCGGGGTTTATGACTGGCTGTGGTAACTATTGACGACCCTGGAAGCCTGCGCCGGAGATAATTTAATTGGCACATCTTAGATAGTTAACTTATAGTTTTAAGCAGTGGCATAGCACACACACCCCGAGCTTCATACTGTCGGTATTTCAAAATACCCCGGTATACGGTATACAGTTGAAGTCGGAAGTTTACATACACTTAGGTTGGAGTCATTAAAACTCGTTTTTCAACCACTCCACAAATGTCTTGTTAACAAACTATAGTTTTGGCAAGTCGGTTAGGACATTTACTATGTGCATGACACATATAATTTTTCCAACAATTGTTTACAGACAGATTATTTCACTTTAAATTCACTGTATCACAATTCCAGTGGGTCAGAAGTTTACATACACAAAGTTGACTGTGACTTTAAACAGCTTGGAAAATTCAAAAAAATTATGTCATGGCTTTAGAAGCTTCTGATAGGCTAATTGACATCATTTGAGTCAATTGGAGGTGTACCTGTGGATGTATTTCAAGGCCTACCTTCAAACTCAGTACCTCTTTGCTTGACATCATGGGAAAATCAAAAGAAATCAGCCAAGACCTCAGAAAAAAAATGGTAGACCTCCACAAGTCTGGTTCATCCTTGGGAGCAATTTCCAAATGCCTGAAGATACCATGCTCATCTGTATAAACAATAGTACGCAAGTATAAACACCATGGGACCACGCAGCCGTCATACGCTCAGGAAGGAGATGCGTTCTGTCTCCTAGAGATGAACGTACTTTGGTGCGAAAAGTGCAAATCAATCCCAGAACAACAGCAAAGGACCTTGTGAAGATGCTGGTGGAAACAGGTACAAAAGTATCTATCTCCACAGTAAAACGAGTCCTATATTGACATAACCTGAAAGGCCGCTCAGCAAGGAAGAAGCCACTGCTCCAAAACCGCCATAAAAAAGCCAGACTACGGTTTGCAACTGCACATGGGGACAAAGATCGTACTTTTTGGAGAAATGTCCTCTGGTCTGATGAAACAAAAATAGAACTGTTTGGCCATAATGACCATCGTTATGTTTGGAGGAAAAAGGGGTTTGCTTGCAAGCCGAAGAACACCATCCCAACCGTGAAGCACGGGGTTGGCAGCATCATGCTGTGGGGGTGCTTTGCTGCAGGAGGGACTGGTGCACTTCACAAAATAGATTGCATCATGAGGAAGGAAAATTATGTGGATATATTGAAGCAACATCTCAAGACATCAGTCAGGAAGTTAAAGCTTGGTCGCAAATGGGTCTTCCAAATGGACAATGACCCCAAGCATACTTCCAAAGTTGTGGCAAAATGGCTTAAGGACAACAAAGTCAAGGTATTGGAGTGGCCATCACAAAGCCCTGACCTCAATCCTATAGAAAATGTGTGGGCAGAACTGAAAAAGTGTCTGCGAGCAAGGAGGCCTACAAACCTGACTCAGTTACACCAGCTCTGTCAGGAGGAATGGACAAAAATTCACCCAACTTATTGTGGGAAACTTGTGGAAGGCTACCCGAAACGTTTGACCCAAGTTAAACAATTTAAAGGCAATGCTACCAAATACTATTTGAGTGTATGTAAACTTCTGACCCACTGGGAATGTGATGAAATAAATAAAAGCTTAAATAAATAATTATCTCTACTATTATTCTGACATTTCACATTCTTAAAATAAAGTGGTGATCCTAACTGACCTAAAACAGGGAATTTTTACTAGGATTAAATGTCAGGAATTGTGAAAAACAGAGTTTAAATGTATTTGGCTAAGGTATATGTAAACGTCCGACTTCAACTGTATATGGTATACATGCCCAAGCCTAATATTCAACATGTCTCTCTCCCTCTTTAGGGCAGGCGTTTCCTGTGTTGGAGGGGATAGCAGGGGACGTGATACCAGACCTGTTGGTGGCGCCCCCTCCTCTCCTGAGGAGGCACCTCCCGGAGGCCTCCACCCTGCGACCCCTGCAAGAGAAACCCCTCCGACTCCCCTCCATGGACCTGACCGCCCATGGTACATCCTACCCACTTCTCCTCACACTGGACATGTTCTGTCACTAAAGTGGTCCACAGCAGTGTGTTCACAAACCACATTACATTGCACATAGACAAACATATCTCACACACACACTAATAAACTGGGAAACTAAAAGAGAAAGGATAGAGTAGTGTTATCAGTGTGTGGTTCTTCATGTTGGGTAACTATCGGTCTTTCTTCTCAGCTGTGGAGATTCCTGCTCCTCTAGAGTTCTCCGTAGCCGATCCTGCTCTTGACGTTCCCGAGTTTGAGGACGGAGGGTCGGAGCTTCTGAAATTGGAAGCCCTAGAAATGCAGCCTACAGACTTGGTGGAGTTAGGGAGGTCAGAGTGGGGGAACGGGGAATATGGTGACCCTGAGTTAGTCCCGCTAGATGTAGACAACATTCCAGAGACAGTGCTTCTAAAGCAGGAGATTCTGGAAGAGGGGGAGGGGGTTCCAGAATTTGAGGACCACAGAGTTCCAGAGTTTGGAGTTGAATTCAGAGAGTTTCCAGAAACTGTCCCTGCCTCCCCTTCCAGCCAGGACCCCCAGCCAGCGGCAGGGTAACACAACCAGCTAACTCTTTCTCTCTCTCAAACTTACCTAATTCTTACCTTAAAAATAACATATCCAGCTCCTGTTCTCCACTAGAATATTGTTCTATGTCATGTTCTTGTCCCTGACTGACCGTTCCCCACCCCCACCCCTCCAGAGCCCAGGCAGAGGACGGCACCTATGAGAGCTGTGACAATGCCAATGAGCACATGCCCTCAGCCAAACAGAAGGTCAAGGGTCAATCCACCAAGAAAAAGAAGGAACCAAAGAGTAAGACACAGGCACCTTACAGTAAGTTCTCACTCAGATACCATCCACCAGCATGAAAGTTTCCAGCTGTGGGTGTGAGTGTGTGAGATGAGGTCAGTGGTTGAGTGTGTGTGTACTGTGTGTAATGTTATGCAGGCCAGTGTCTAGGCAGTGAGGTTTATGTGTGTTTACCTCTTTTCTCCTATCGACCCTAGACAGACTGGAATTGCTATCGCACTCATGATTGTATCTTATCTAGCCATAACTGCCACCAATAAGATTAACTAACATAAAATATGTCATGTTTTCTTAACTATTTATCTTCCTTTTATCTTTTCACAGACCCATATGCTGAGACTCAGTCTCCGGTAAGGAAGATTCTGGGTCTTTTGATTGGTTGATAGCTCAGTATTTGAAAATATTTGACCCAGGTCTGTTACACACAGTAAAAGCTGCTCTATCTGTCAGACACTTCTCTGCATCTATCCTGTGGGAATCTAATCACCCATTAAAGATCTTATCAGACATGTCCCTCATCTTCCTATTGTTTACAGACTGAAGGAACACCCAAGACTGGCTGGTCTTTTAAGAAGCCTGCTCTGGAAACCCCAGAGGAGAAAGCACTGAAGAAGAAAGAAAAACAACATCTGGAGAAGGAGAAGAAAGAGCAGAAAGAGAGAGCGAGGAAGGAGCAGAAAGAGAGAGCGAGGAAGGAGCAGAAAGAGAGAGAGAAGAAAGAAAATGAGATGAAGAAGTTTAAGGTAAGAAATCCTGAGAGGAGAGAAGAGGAATAGTATTCTCGGCAGTAGAAACCAGTGCGATTTCATTCCTTCAAGATGGAAGATTAACTGAACAACATGGTTACATGGTAATAACTTCACCTATCACAGAGAGATGTATTCTGATTTGAGATCCACATGGTTGACTTTCATTTTTGAGCAAATCTCCCAATGACGTCAATGAATGATTTTCGCAGAAGTCACAGTTGGATCTCAAGTCTCAATACTAACGATGAGAGAGGGGGTGGGACTTATAGGAAATGTCATATAACCCTAACCCAAGTGTTGCTAGTACAAACACTGCACACTACACTACTACACTCAATAATACACAGATTAATACACAGGGTAATATCAACAATAGCAGCCCCTCTAGCAACTGATGTCATTAATGTAAAGCCCAGCTGCAAAGAAAGACTCAAACTGGACAGTTTTATCTCGATCTCTTCATTCAAAGACTCAATCATGGACACTCTTACTGACAGTTGTGGCTGCTTCGCGTGATGTATTGTTGTCTCTACCTTCTTGCCATTGTTCTGTTGTCTGTGCCCAATAATGTTTGTACCATGTTTTGTGCTGCTACCATGTTGTGTTGCTGCCATGTTGTGTTGCTACCATGTTGCTACCATGTTGCTGTCATGTGGTGTTGCTACCATGCTGTGTTGTCATGTGTTGCTGCCATGCTATGTTGTTGTGTTAGGTCTCTTTATGTAGTGTTGTGGTGTCTCTCGTCGTGATGTGTGTTTTGTCCTATATTTTTATTTTTAATCCCAGCCCCCGTCCCCGCAGGAGGCCTTTTGCCTTTGGTAGGCCGTCATTGTAAATAAGAATTTGTTCTTAACTGACTTGCCTAGTTAAATGAAGGTAAAAAAAAAAAAAAAAAGATTTACATTGCATTCATCGCACTCCACTACAGTAAATACATAATGGACTGCTGAGATTATATTTTCACTGTGTGTGCATGTCTTTGTGCGTGTGCAGATAACAGGTCAGGAGGAGGCTATATATCAGGCTACGGTGACGGTAGCATCTAAAGGACGTAAGAACGACCTGGCTGTGAAGAATCGGGACATCGTCAGCATCATACGGACCACAAACTGCCCCAAAGGAAAATGGCTAGCCAGGGACAGCACTAATACATGTAAGTTACACACCTACCTAACTCCTGACCTCTACACAAATACAGGTGGGCATAACATTAGTCAAAGTAATAGTTCAAAATCTACAGTAGTTGTTTGAATGTGGGATCGCAGACAGGTTGTGTTGTTGTGTTGTGTTGTCATTACTTGAAGACCTACTGTATGTGAAAACTGTCTTGCAGATGGGTACAACATGAGTAATATGTGTTTACAAACTATCTGTGTGTATAGATGGGTGCATCTTAGTTATAGCAGGTGTAATCAGTGTTATATATATGTGTGATATAGATGGGTACATCTCAGTGAGCCAGGTGGAGCTGGACATTAAGGAGATGTTGGAGCTGGGGAAGAAGGCTTCTCATGCCATCAGCCATAAGGACAGCAGTACTCTGGTAGAACAGGGAGGAGAGGTGGCCAGTATGGGCAGCAGGACGTCCAATCACTACCCACTACAGGAAGATACAGGCAGCTGTAAGTACTTCACTGTTCAGTCATTCATGTGCACGTGCACATATCATATTGTGGATCCAAATGAACTAGTAGCCCTTTCCTGAAGTCAATGACCAAAAGCGCTCTCTTTGGCCTCATGGGTGGAATGTTATTAATATTTTTCATAATTAATATAGATTATTTCAAAGAACCCGACAAATATCTATGTTAAACAGTTTTGTTAAATGATTCTGTGTTCTGTGATGTACAGTGCCTTCGGAAAGTATTCAGACCCCTTATTCTAAAATTGATTACATAATACCCCATAATGACGAAGCGAAAACAGTTTTTTAGAAATTCTAGCAAATTTATAAAAAATAAAAAAACAGAAATACCTTATTTACATAAGTATTCAGACCCTTTGCTATGAGATTCGAAATTGAGCTCAGTTGCATCATGTGTCCATTGATCATCCTTGAGATGTTTCTACAACTTGACTGGAGTCCACCTGTGGTAAATTCAATTGATTGGACATGATTTGGAAAGGCACACACCTGTCCATATAAGGTCTCACAGTTGAAAGCGCATGTCAGAGCAAAAACCAAGCCATGAGGTCGAAGGAATTGTCCATAGAGCTCCGAGACAGGATTGTGTCGAGGCACAGATCTGGGGAAGGGTACCAAAACATTTCTGCAGCTTTGAAGGTCCACAAGAACACAGTGGCCTCCATCATTCTTAAATGGAAGAAGTTTGGAACCTCCAAGACTCTTCCTAGAGCTGGCCGCCCAGCCAGGGAGAAGGGCCTTGGTCAGGGAGGTGACCAAGAACCCGATGGTCACTCTGCCAGAGCTCCAGAATTCCTCTGTGGAGATGGGAGACATTTCCAGAAGGACAACCATCTCTGCAGCACTCCACCAATCAGGCCTTTATGGTAGAGTCGGCCAGACGGAAGCCACTCCTCAGTAAAAGGAACATGACAGCCCGCTTGGAGTTTGCCAAAAGGCACCTAAAGACTCAGACCATGAGAAACAAAATTCTCTGGTCTGATGAAATCAAGATTTGGCCTGAATGCCAAGCGTCACGTCTGGAGAAAACTTGGCACCATCCCTAAGGTGAAGCATGGTGGTGGCAGCGTCATGCTGTGGGGATGTTTTTCAGCGGCAAGAACTGGGAGACTAGTCAGGATCGAGGGAAAGATGAACGGAGCAAAGTACAGAGATCCTTGATGAAAACCTGCTCCAGAGCGCTCAGGACCTCAGACTGGGGCGAAGGTTCACCTTCCAACAGGACAACAACCCTAAGCACACAGCCAAGACAACACAGGAGTGGCTTTGGGACAGGTCTCTGAATGTCCTTGAGTTTCCCAGCCAGAGCCCGGACTTGAACCCGATCGAACATCTCTGGAGAGACCTGAAAATAGCTGTGCAGCGACGCTCCCCATCAACATGACAGAGCTTGAGAGGCTCTGCAGAGAAGAATGGGAGAAACTCCCCCAATACAGGTGTCAAGGTTGTAATTGCTGCCAAAGTTGCTTCAACAAAGTACTGAGTAAAGGGTCTGAATACTTATGTAAATGTAATATTTCCGTTTTTTTATTTGTAATAAATTTGCAAAAATTTCAAAAACTGTTTTTGCTTTGTCATTATGGGGTATTGCATGTAGGGAAAAAAACTATTTAATCAATTTTAGAATAAGGCTGTAACGTAACAAAATGTCGAAAAAGTAAAGGGGTCTGAATACTTTCCCAATGCACTGTATTGGGATGCAAACTCAAAATTAAAAAAAATGTCAACTCTATATCTGACATGGTACAGGCGTCTTCTTTTTTTCAAAAACAACCATGTGTGTGAGGTGTATACTTTTGTTTCAAAGTAGATTTGTTTAAGACTACCAAGAAACACTCTTGTGTGGCCCTGATTTAGCCCACTGCAGTAAAAGGTAAAACTCTGTGTGTGTGTGTGTGTGTGTTCTCCCCCCAGTCACAGACGAAAGTGAGGAGTGGATGTGTGATGATGATGAAGCGCTCTCCTCCCCCATTGAGGAAGATCCTACAGAGAGGTAAGTACACACCGCAACATTAACTATTTGAACAGGCACGTTTAGATATGGGGACTATTCACCATTGGGACTGTTCAACAGGGGCCCGATCCCGATTTAGGAATTGATGTGTCTTTCCTACGCACGCCTTTCCTACGCACTTCTCAGTATTTGGTATTCAGACTTACTTTTTTCAGTCACATAACACACTCTGCAGGTGTGGCTACCTTGCTCGCTCTGAATACATTACATTCAACCGCTGAAAACCCTCCCACTTGCTGGCCAACAGATTTTCTCATGGAGTTTTCATTCAATAGGGTTTTCAGTACATTGATCTTAAGCCATCCCTTTAAACAGTGTACCTTTTTAATTACAATTTTGTCGACAGACAATGAAATACATGGAGAGAACGGTTTCAGATTATGGAGATCAATGAAAGAATGCCATCTATACATATTTGTCTCAGTTTCAGCACCAACTGGTGGATTTAAAAATACTCTGATCTTTTAGATTATTTAGACACATTTTAAGGTTAGGAAAGTATGTATGAATAAAAAAATAACAGTTTGGAGAGCCTTTACGCACTAAATACACTGCTCAAAAAAATAAAGGGAACACTAAAATAACACATCCTAGATCTGAATGAATGAAATAATGTGCTGACAACAAAATCACACAAAAATTATCAATGGAAGTCAAATGTATCAACCCATGGAGGTCTGGATTTGGAGTCACCCTCAAAATTAAAGTGGAAAACCACATTACAGGCTGATCCAACTTTGATGTAATGTCCTTAAAACAAGTCAAAATGAGGCTCAGTAGTGTGTGTGGCCTCCACGTGCCTGTATGACCTCCCTATAACGCCTGGGCATGCTCCTGATGAGGTGGCGGATGGTCTCCTAAGGGATCTCCTCCCAGACCTGGACTAAAGCATCCGCCAACTCCTGGACAGTCTGTGGTGCAACGTGGCGTTGGTGGATGGAGCGAGACATGATGTCCCAGATGTGCTCAATTGGATTCAGGTCTGGGGAACGGGCGGGCCAGTCCATAGCATCAATGCCTTCCTCTTGCAGGAACTGCTGACACACTCCAGCCACATGAGGTCTAGCATTGTCTTGCATTAGGAGGAACCCAGGGCCAACCGCACCAGCATATGGTCTCACAAGGGGTCTGAGGATCTCATCTCGGTACCTAATGGCAGTCAGGCTACCTCTGGCGAGCACATGGAGGGCTGTGCGGCCCCCCAAAGAAATGCCACCCCACACCATGACTGACCCACCGCCAAACCGGTCATGCTGGAGGATGTTGCAGGCAGCAGAACGTTCTCCACGGCGTCTCCAGACTCTGTCACGTCTGTCACATGTGCTCAGTGTGAACCTGCTTTCATCTGTGAAGAGCACAGGGCGCCAGTGGCGAATTTGCCAATCTTGGTGTTCTCTGGCAAATGCCAAACGTCCTGCACGGTGTTGGGCTGTAAGCACAACCCCCACCTGTGGACGTCGGGCCCTCATACCACCCTCATGAAGTCTGTTTCTGACCGTTTGAGCAGACACATGCACATTTGTGGCCTGCTGGAGGTCATTTTGCAGGGCTCTGGCAGTGCTCCTCCTGCTCCTCCTTGCACAAAGGCGGAGGTAGCAGTCCTGCTGCTGGGTTGTTGCCCTCCTACGGCCTCCTCCACGTCTCCTGATGTACTGGCCTGTCTCCTGGTAGCGCCTCCATGCTCTGGACACTACGCTGACAGACACAGCAAACCTTCTTGCCACAGCTCGCATTGATGTGCCATCCTGGATGAGCTGCACTACCTGAGCCACTTGTGTGGGTTGTAGACTCCGTCTCTTGCTACCACTAGAGTGAAAGCACCGCCAGCATTCAAAAGTGACCAAAACATCAGCCAGGAAGCATAGGAACTGATAAGTGGTCTGTGGTCACCACCTGCAAAACCAGTCCTTTATTGGGGGTGTCTTGCTAATTGCCTATAATTTCCACCTGTTGTCTATTCCATTTGCACAACAACATGTGAAATTTATTGTCAATCAGTGTTGCTTCCTATGTGGACAGTTTGATTTCACAGAAGTGTGATTGACTTGGAGTTACATTGTGTTGTTTAAGTGTTCCCTTTATTTTTTTGAGCAGTGTATATTGATTAATAACAAATAGTGGTTTGATTCATCCTGAAAGTTGTCATATTCAAGTTCAATCCATAACATTTTGGAAGGTGAGAAAGTGTACAATAGGGGTTGAATAATAATCCTACAAATCTACCCTAATTCTCACTAATCATGGAACTGTATGACATCGGACCGGTTGTCAGGAACCTGCTATGTGTGGTCTGAGTTCCATAATGATTCAAATAGGCTACATGTCCCAAATTATTGGACAACATTAGTCTATATGATCCACTAATGCTAGCGACCCTCAGGAACAATTTACAAGGACGTGACAGAGGAAAGAAATGTAAACAGAATGTAATGATGCAAAAATAAATGTTTGTGGGTATTACTGACGGGGGCTCCCGATACTGACTAATATTTAACATGATACAAATTGTAAAATAAAATGGAGAAAAGCCCAGGCATATTGCAATTGCTATTTGTATTTACAATCCCCTTCTCCAAACGGATTGCTCATTTACCTAGCTCTTATCAATTTATAAATGACTGTGCATGGAGAATGCTGTTATTTCTATTGAAAAAGTAGATGCTTTTTCCACTTGGAACAGGCAGGTTCGCTCAACCTTATTCATGGTTTCCTCGTGCGTAAAGGTGGTGGAATTATGAGGGAATTAAGTCCAGGTCAGAATACAGTGTATCTGTAGACACACCTCTACCATACCTTCATTTATTCAAGCTCCACCTCAAACGAATAGTGGGTGAATAGCCTGCTATTCTCATGCTTACGTTCAAGGTCAGAATACGCATAGAGAGAAAAGCAGATAAAAAGGGAATTACTTTCCCTTTACTCGCGCTTAACTCGGGTCGGAATCGGGCCCATGGGACTGTTATGGTGAGGGCTATCACAGTGGGGACTATTGACTTTGATGTCAGGAACTTTGAATCTGCATGACATCACTGTTCTCTTCTGCAGCGGCCACATCCAAACAATGTCCATGATGGGTGAGTAAAACACCACAGTCAAGCCACTGGGTTTCAATTATCTATCTGACTATCAATGAGCCATGACTGGCCTCAGCTTCCTGCACGTCCTGCTCATCTTTTCTTCCTCTCTTTAAATACCTAAAATCAGTGAGGGAAAAAAAGTATTTGATCCCCTGCTGATTTTATATGTTTGCCCACTGACAAAGAAATGATCAGTCTATAATTTTAATGGTAGGTTTGTTTGAACAGTGAGAGACAGAATAACAACAACAAAAATCCAGAAAAACGCATGTCAAAAATGTTATAGATTGATTTGCATTTTAATGAGGGAAATAAGTATTTGACCCCCTCTCAATCAGAAAGATTTCTGGCTCCCAGGTGTCTTTTATACAGGTAACGAGCTGAGATTAGGAGCACACTCTTAAAGGGAGTGCTCCTAATCTCAGCTTGTTACCTGTGTAAAAGACACCTGTCCACAGAAGCAATCAATCAATCAGATTCCAAACTCTCCACTATGGCCAAGACCAAATAACTCTCCAAGGATGTCAGGGACAAGATAGTAGACCTACACAAGGCTGGAATGGGCTACAAGACCATCGCCAAGCAGCTTGGTGAGAAGGTGACAACAGTTGGGGCGATTTTTCGCAAATTGAAGAAACACAAAATAAGTGTCAATCTCCCTCGGCCTGGGGCTCCATGCAAGATCTCACCTCGTGGAGTTGCAATGATCATGAGAACGGTGAGGAATCAGCCCAGAACTACACGGGAGGATCTTGTCAATGATCTCAAGGCAGCTGGGACCATAGTCACCAAGAAAACAATTGGTAACACACTACGCCGTGAAGGACTGAAATTCTGCAGCGCCCGCAAGGTCCCCCTGCTCAAGAAAGCACATATACAGGCCCGTCTGAAGTTTGCCAATGAACATCTGAATGATTCAGAGGAGAACTGGGTGAAAGTGTTGTGGTCAGATGAGACCAAAATGGAGCTCTTTGGCATCAACTCAACTCGCCATGTTTGGAGGAGGAGGAATGCTGCCTATGACCCCAAGGACACCATCAAACATGGAGGTGGAAACATTATGCTTTGGGGGTGTTTTTCTGCTAAGGGGACAGGACAACTTCACAGCATCAAAGGGACGATGGACGGGGCCATGTACCGTCAAATCTTGGGTGAGAACCTCCTTCCCTCAGCCAGGGCATTGAAAATGGGTCGTGGATGGGTATTCCAGCATGACAATGACCCAAAACACACGGCCAAGGCAACAAAGGAGAGGCTCAAGAAGCAGCACATTAAGGTCCTGGAGTGGCCTAGCCAGTCTCCAGACCTTAATCCCATAGAAAATCTGTGGAGGGAGCTGAAGGTTTGAGTTGCCAAACGTCAGCCTCGAAACCTTAATGACTTGGAGAAGATCTGCAAAGAGGAGTGGGACAAAATCCCTCCTGAGATGTGTGCAAACCTGGTGGCCAACTACAAGAAACGTCTGACCTCTGTGATTGCCAACAAGGGTTTTGCCACCAAGTACTAAGTCATGTTTTGCAGAGGGGTCAAATACTTATTTCCCTCATTAAAATGCAAAACAATTTATAACATTTTTGACATTAGTTTTTCTGGATTTTTTTGTTGTTATTCTGTCTCACTGTTCAAATAAACCTACCATTAAAATTATAGACTGATCATTTCTTTGTCAGTGGGCAAACGTACAAAATCAGCAGAGGATCAAATACTTTTTTTCCCTCACTGTACCTTTGGCCGATTATATCTGTTGTTGTTTACATTATTGTGTGTGTGTTTTCTTCCTCCAGGAAGCAGAGAGCCTAGCATCCACCACCAACACACACTCAGTGACACCACCATAGATGGCATGCAGTGAGTCACACACAGATAATAAGACAATGATTTGAATAGTATTAACAATATTCTGTCCAATAGTTATCATGTCTCCCTTCTGATGTCTGTTCTGCAGGGCGAGACATGAAGCACTTCAGAAGCTGGCCACTTTCTTCCACAAACCTGTTGTAGAGGAACCCATCAGGAGGTACATATACCTGCACACACACACGCGCACACGCAGATGACGGTAAAGGTGATTGAATGTTTCCTTTGATGTTTACCTCTTGTTTCTCTGTTTTTTCTCTCCATCTCTCTCTTTCTCTACTGTCTCCCTCTGAGAAGACCTGAAGAACCTGAACCTGAAGAACTAATCAGTAAGTAAAGATCTATGTATGGATTCTGTGTCCTACACATTCGGCCTATAGTCTTTGGGCTGGTTAGCCAGACACAGATTATCCATTTAGCATACCTTTCTTTCATAGCCCAGTAGGGTTTCATTTGGGTCTGGGAAATCAGCCAATAAAGGTTGAAAGAATGTTGTTGGAATTTTTTGAGTTCAATGAAAGGAATCCACTTTTTACGTCTGAATCTGACACTGATGACACAGAGTGGAAAAATACCTTTACGTTTAAAACATCCTTTTTTACTTTCCAGGTCCCGTGGATATAGAAGAACCAGTGTACCCGTAAGTAGGATAGAAAAAAATGTCACATTGTGTAATCTGTTGTCAGACTGGTTTTCTGGGCTTGGATTGTGAATGTTATTGAGCTGTGTCATTGAGTGTGTGTGCGCGAGTGTGTGTCTGACATGCATGTGTGTTTCTATGTAGATGTAAAGAGGAAGCAGATTTGGCCTTTCCAGGCATGGTGATTCTTCCTCCTCCTGACCTGTATTCAGACGACATAATCAATGACGCTTAGTAGACTACCAACTACTGTAAAACAGGTAGTTGAACAGGTAAAAATGATACTTTACAATAATCAGCCATTAAGAACCATTGATCAGTCAGTCAATACCAGTAGGCCATTGATCATGCATTGATGATGTCTGTGTCTGTTCTCTCTTCTATGAGCAGTTGGAGAGCAGAGGAAGAATGGCAAGATGGTATGTCGTCAAGTGCCAGTCATCTCCATGACAATCACTCAGATAACAGAGACATGAAGGATCGCCGTTTGGACAACCTGCAATCGGATGGACTATTTCTCTGTTATAATATTGTTTAGGCCGGGATTCAATCCGAGCGCTCTAGTCAACAATGCAGATTTTGAAGGCAACGTTAGCGTCTTTGCGGAGATCGCATTCAAGGTAAATGCTGCAGATGTCGACTCATTTGGAAATGAACTTTAAAATGTCAATAACGCTATAGTGTTTCAGATTGAATCCCTTGTTTTGATGTCCATCCAGGGTTATGGAGGTTGAGATTAAGGGAAGGATACAGACAGAGAGCAGTTCTGTTTATACTTAATGTTCAATCGTTTTATACAAAGACAACTATGGGATACCATGCATACATTGAGGTTCCACAGTGTAATAAATCTTTACAGGTGTTCGTGTTTGGCTATGACAAATCAACAGTCTGTATCCAGCTACTGTCTGTCTAAAATGACACCCTATTCCCCATGTAGTGCACTAACTTTGACCTAAGTGACACAGGGTTCGCCACATAGGGCTCTGGTCAAAAGTAGTGCACTACACAGAGAATGGGATGCCTGCCATATGAGATTTGTCTGTCTGTTGTTTTATATTCTCAGTGTATTTCCCATTAAGTATTAGAGAGAGAGGAAGTCATTAGTTTAAGTCATGTTCATTTAGCTACCAGCTCTGATAGTTATGATCTGCCAATTAATAAAAACGCAAAGCAGTGGTCTACTGTATAGGTCAATGTAATTGTGTTTGACAATAAATACTCAGTAAAGTGCAAATCAGAACAGCACCGCCATGCAATACATATAACACAGAAAACCACACCTCACAGAGGAGAGGAAGAGGTACATTTCACTCTCACACACAGACAGAAGAGAAGAACACTTTGGTTCCAGAAGTCTGAATACAGTGACAACACACCTTAACCCTTGTAAAGAGGTACACCTTACACTGACTGAGTGGGTGTGTATACCTTACAGTAGTGCGTGTGTATAAACACCAGAATCTAGGGGCATTGCTGTGTGTAATTGCATGAGTGTAGCAGCAGGGAGCAGAGTTTCTCCCTGACCCTGTAGCAGCTACGATCAGACATACAGTGTTCAAAACATTAAGAACACCTTCCTAATTAAGTTCCACCCCTTTACCCTCAAAACAGTCTCAATTCGTTGTGGCATGGACTCTACAAGGTGTCGAAAGCGTTCCACAGGGATGCTGGCCCATGTTGACTCCAATGCTTGTGTCAAGTTGTCTGGATGTCCTTTGGGTGGTGGACCATTCTTGATACACATGGGAAACTGTTGAAGATTAAAAACCCAGCAGCGTTGCAGTTCTTGACACAAACCTGTGCGCCTGGCACCTACTACCATACCCTGTTCAAAGGCACTTAAATATTTTGTCTTGCCCATTCACCCTCTGAATGGCACACATACACAATCCATGTCTCAGTTGTCTCAAGGCTTCAAAATCCTTCTTTAACCTGTTTCCTCCCTTTCATCTACACTAGTGGTCACCAACCTTTGAGTCAAGATTGCTTTCGCATTAAAAAAAGCAAGCAAAGATCTACCGCTCAGATATTTAAAAAAAAAATACTTTTAAAAATTAACATTAACCTAATAAAAACAGTTCTGTAGAGATTAGGTTTGAGCAGTAGGCCTAATACATTACCACAACATATTGGCTATATGCCTGGCCTGACAGTATCGTTCTTCTCAGACCATATTATATTTCAAAACTCAAGCTTTGATAACATAGATCAGTTTTTGTAGCACTTGCGAGCCACAGCTGAGCATAACTTGAAATAATATGGTACAGTACCTGCATCTGATGGCCATGGTGCTTTCAAGACAACTGGGAACTCGAAGAAAAACGAGGTGAAATCATGATGTTTTGATCTTCAGGTCGGAGCTCTAGAAAGATGCCAGAGTTTCCGACTAGGAATTCTGAGTTGGATGACCGTTCAAAACTATTTCCCAGTCGGATCTCGTTTTTACCGAGTTCCCAGTTGTATTCAACACACTGAAGTCGGAGATTTCCGAGTTCCCAGTTGTTTTGAACAGGGCACTATTCTCAGCTGAGGGAGGAATAGAGCAGCAGCGGGTCCGCCTCTCACGGTCCCTACTCTATCCTTACTTTCCTCCGGTGTGACTGACCAGAGAGAGACACAGTCTTCCACCTGACATCAAACCTCGAGTTGCGCCGCATCTCTAATAATAATAAAAACGCAGGACTATCGATACACTTGGCTACTCATTCATTGCAGCGCGAGTGGAAAATGGGAGAAGAGCGTTTTATGTTTTGTAATAGTGTTGAATAAAAGCAGTGTTGACAGTGCTGAATAAAAACTTAAACTCACTCATAAAAACAGCAGCTCTTTGCTGTATTCATTGACAGTCTCTCTGTGGTCATGGTTTTAAAAGTTATTCAATCTTACGTAGGTTAGTATCAAACTTTGCTGTGGCCGGGGAAGCGCTGTACGGTGATTTGAGCTATTCGATTGGCCAGCCCAGTAGGCGCACTCGATTTAGCCACAGATTTCGCGGTCCACCGGGTAGACGTAGTTTGTCCTTTGGAGACAAATGAAATGGTTCAAAATGGAAACACTTTGCATACTCGGTGCGCAGGGCTTTTGAATCAAGTACACCTACCGCCAACAGCGCAACTCACACACACACACACAAAAGGAGTGCAAGCCTTTATCGTTGGCTTTTCTACAGACATTTTAGGTTACCTACTAGGAATGCCTTGAAGATCGACCGGTTGGTGACCACTGATCTACACCAATTGAAATGGATTTAACAAATTACATCAATAAGGGATCATAGCAGAGTCACTGACCACCTTCCGGAGACACTTGAAACCCTACCTCTTTAAGGAATACCAGGAATAGTATAAAAGTAATCTATCTACCATCTAATGTTTTGTACACTCAGTATGTATAATTTATATCAAATATGGGATATGCCCGTTTATTAGGTACACCACCCAGTTAACATAAATGGATCGCTCCTACAGACAGTGAGTCACATGGCCGTGGCTTGTTATATAAAGCCGGCAGACAGGCATCCAGTTACTGTTCAATTGAACGTTAGAATAGACAAAACAAGTGACTGAGCGTGGTATGATCGTCGGTGCCACGCGCCAGGTCTAGTATCTCAGTACATGCTGTTCACAGCATGAATGTACTGCTGTCCAATCTGCAACAACTGCGTGATGCCATCACGTCAGCATGGACGAACATCCCTGTGGAACGTTACTGACACCTTGTAGACTCCCCTGAAGAATTCAGGCTGTTCTGGGGGCAAAGGGGGGGTCAGATCGGTACTAGATGGGTGTACCTAATAAACCATCCGGTGAGTATATACACACACGTGGGTACCGTATTGCATGTATAGTGTCATACACAGATAAAACAGACAACGCTCTCAGAATAGAGATGTGATGACAGAACTACTGCACAGGACAAATGACAAATAAACAAATAAGGAAACAAAGAAACAGAAGGAAAGAAGAGAGGTTTAGTGTCTTCTCTCTTTGTGGCTCAAACCTCTCTTTAACTGGCCCAACAGAGGAGGACTACAATTCCCTCAGTGAAACACACGCTACTGCAAATACACACAACAAACCAATGACTCGAGGGAGCGAGGGAAAGAGAGAGTCAAATGATTCTACATTTAGTAACGAACCGAACACAGAACAGATCACCATCATTGTACCAGAACAGACCAGAGAAACACACACACACAAGCATGCATCAGATCAGCAAGAGCCCAGCCCTCACTGGCTCCAGCAAAACAAGAGACACGGACAGGAGTCCAGAAGACTATATACTGTAAACCATTTGACAAAATGGTAAAGGGAGATTTGTTCCAGTGTTCTCTCATATCTATTCGCTGTCCTCCTTTAGTTATATTAGTCAGATCTCAAATCTCATTGGCACATAAACTACAGCACTGTATTTCTTCTCCTGACCAATCCCTGGCAAGCTCCTGTTTGTATGTCAGTCCTCTCCTCTACACACAGGAGTGTACACACACAAAGAAACAGTCTGCTTGCCATTCAGTTTCTGCAAACAAAACAGCCAACAAGCTAGAAACAACGTTTGTGTTTTTAAGGCACCTGGAGAAAGGTTTGGTACAGATACACTTCCTCCTCCTCCGTCAGTTGCTAACTAATCCACAGAACAATATTGCCAGTCAGTTAGCCTCCTCTCTCTATGACCTCTCATCGCCTAAAATCTCTTCAGTCAGTATAGAATTCTCAAACATCAGCAGTGCTTTAATACTCAATATTCAGTACCACACACATCTCTTTAAAATAAATAACAATCTGATATCTAAATAATAACAATCCTCTTTAACTTCATTTCAATCAACAGCTACTCCACTACTCAAAGTGATAGTAATAGAAATATATGTGATACATATGGATAACAAAATCTGTGTCGTTACAAAAACCATATAAAACCATATATAAAATGCTCAGTGTTTGTGCTACAGTGATGGCTATTCTGGAGCTGATTGGAGGTTGTGTAGTCTGGGAGGCGTCGCCCGTCTATAAACAAACAGTCTATTGCCGCATTCACATGCTAGTCAGAAGTAGGAAACTCAGAAATGTCCGACTTGCTAACCCGTTGAACACTGCACGTGTATAACTACAACTAGTTAGCAAGCTAGAAATGTCAGTTTCCTAGTTCCGACTAGCACGTGAACGCGGCATATGGGAACTACAGTAGATTTGACTTAACGTGACCTTGCCTCAGCAAGTGAGACCTAACCTCTAACCTTTCCCACGGCCAGACTGGCTGCCTCTAGACCAGGGATGGGCAACTAGTGGCCCGCGGGCCGCATGGCCCCTTTTGTAGGCCTGCAGATCAATCCCCCCCCCTCTCCACATTTAATTTTTACCCAGTCTGGGTCTCAACTTCCAGTAAATTAACTCTAAAACTTCACATTTCCCTCCACTGTCAAGAGGAGGGACCACTAAAACGTTTTTAAATCGCTGAATTTTACTTAGGGCCCCCCAAAACGCTGACTGCATGTGTGTGTATGGATGTGGGTAAGCAGAACCGTGAGCCACCGCAGGCCCTAATGATGAGTTCAGATTTTTTGTGGCCCCTACCCCCATCAAAGTTGCCCACCCCTGCTCTAGACAGACAGGAAGCCTAACCAGAGATCTAGGACCTTGCACAGCTCAAACCTACAACACCAGGAGGTAACAACTCTCCCTAAAAACTGACCTTAGATCTGTGGTTAGAGGCATGTCTGCCCTGCAGTGGTCAGTGTTCTGCAGTACTTTGAGAATTAGGTCAGGATCGCACCGATATAAAACTGTCTAAATAGGCTCAGTGCAGGGTTCTGTTTCAGAGGTTATGCAGGTAGGACCTGGAGTTTTCCTGACTATATGACATTGACCAGGAAACACTCCAGGCCCCTAGTTATCCAGCGGGGTTAACCCTCTCTAGCGGGCCAGTGTGGTGATGAGACTGGCACACATCTCAAAGAAGTCCATGGTGTGGCTGCCCTGGCGCGGGGTGGGGGTGGAGGTGAGGAGGGCAGCGCTGGAGCACAGCGACCCAGGCAGAGAGGAGCTGAGCTTGGGGAGATCCACGGCAGGACAGGCTGAGTCCACACTGAGTCTGGGTCTGTGGAGCCCTGCAGTGGAGCCTGACCTCTGGGGGGTGGAAGAGCCCGACTTAAACCCTACTGCGTCCATGATGTCATCTGGGGGAGGAGAGATTAGTGTTTGTTTTTGTCATTACTCATCTTCTGCACTCAGTAATACATTGTAAAAAGAGGAAACTCTAAATTCTGTTTTCAGAATTAACCAGATATCAAAAGTCAGTTTGCTATTATAAATATGTTGTGTAGCAGGCGTACCGTCGATGCTTTTGAAGTCCAGCAGGTAGGATCTGTTGTCTACTTGGTACAGCTGGAGACTCATCTTCACCAGGTTGCCTGTTACTGGGTTCTTCCTCCGAACACGCAGGTGGTACGGGTTCACCACCTAAACATAACATAACACACACACACACACACACAAAAGGTGCAATATGCAGAAATCGTTCCGCCATTTTCTGGTTGCTAAAATTCTAATAGTTCACCTAATTTCTGTTTATATTACAAAACAAACAATGTATAGTGTACAGAATCATTGTACCATCTAAACCGCTGTGAAATATATTTTCAATAACCAAGACTATTGTATTTTCAGCTTTTTGAAGACTGTGTACAAAACTGAAAGTATAAAAGGCAAAAAAAAACGAAATTTAAGAACGGGAAGCATAGAAATAGCGCACATAGAACAGATATACCGCTTCTTAGACTTTCTTTCAATGAGAATGACAGATCTATAATTTTTATGTGAATTTGGTCGGGTCACCTAGAATATTACATACTGCAGCTTTAACATGTATACACACACACCTTAACATGTACAGTGAGATATTAGAAATTCTCATTTTCGAAAGAAAAGCAATTTTTTTTGGTCCATTAAAATAACATCAAATTTATCAGAAATACGGTGTAGACACTGTTAATGTTGTAAATGGCTATTGTAGCTGGAAACAGCTGATTTTTAATGGAATATCTACATAGGCCCATTATAAGCAACCATCAGTCCTGTGTTCCAATGGCACGTTGTGTTTGCTAATCCAAGTTTAATCATTTTAAAAAGGCTAATTGATCATTAGAAAACCCTTTTGCAATTATGTTAGCACAGCTGAAAACGGTTGTGCTGATTAAAGAAGCAATAAAAAACTGGCCTTCAGTCTATTCTTGTTCTGAGAAATGAAGGCTATTCCATGCATGAAATTGCCAAGAAAATGAAGATCTCGTACAAGCTGTGTACTACTCCCTTCACAGAACAGCGCAAACTGGCTCTAACCAGAATAGAAAGAGGAGTGGGAGGCCCCGGTGCACAAGTGAGCAAGAGGACAAATACATTAGAGTGTCTAGTTTGAGAAACAGACGCCTCACAGGTCCTCAACTGGCAGCTTAATTAAATAGTACCCCTCAAAACACCAGTCTCAACGTCAACAGTGAAGAGTTGACTCCGGGATGCTGACCTTCTAGGCAGAGTTGCAAAGAAAAAGCCATATCTCAGACTGCCCATCTTTTAAATGTATTGGCCAGTCTGAGATATGGCTTTTTCTTTGCAACTCTGCCTAGAAGGTCAGCATCCCGGAGTCGCCTCTTCAATGTTGACGTTGAGACTGGTGTTTTGTGGGTACTATTTAATGAAGCTGCCAGTTGAGGACCTGTGAGGCATCTGTTTCTGATCAATTTGATGTTATTTTTAAAAAATGGACAAAAAAAATTGCAGTAGTGTATGTATGTATGTATGTATGTATAGTTGAAGTCGGAAGTTTACATACACCTTAGCCAAATACATTTAAACTCAGTTTTTCACGATTCCTGACATTTAATCCTAGTAAAAAAGTATTTAGGTCAGTTAGGATCACCACTTTATTTTAAGAATGTGAAATGTCAGAATAATAGTAGAGAGAATGATTTATTTCAGCTTTTATTTCTTTCATCACATTCCCAGTGGGTCAGAAGTTTACATACACTCAATTAGTATTTGGTAGCATTGCCTTTAAATTGTTTAACTTGGGTCAAAAGTTTTGGGTAGCCTTCCACAAGCTGCCCACAATAAATTGGGTGAATTTTGGCCCATTCCTCCTGACAGAGCTGGTGTAACTGAGTCAGGTTTGTAGGCCCCTTGCTCGCACACGCTTTTTCAGTTCTGCCCACACATTTTCTATAGGATTGAGGTCAGGGCTTTGTGATGGCCACTCCAATACCTTGACTTTGTTGTTCTTAAACCATTTTGCCACAACTTTGGAAGTATGCTTGGGGTTGTTGTCCATTTGGAAGACCAATTTGCGACCATGCTTTAACTTCCTGACGGATGTCTTGAGATGTTGCTTCAATATATCCACATAATTTCCTTCCTCATGATACCATCTATTTTGTGAAGTGCACCAGTCCCTCCTGCAGTAAAGCACCCCAACAGCATGATGCTGCCACCCCCATGCTTCACGGTTGGGATGGTGTTCTTCGGCTTGCAAGGTCCCCCCTTTTTCCTCCAAACATAACAATGGTTGTTATGGCCAAACAGTTCTATTTTTGTTTCATCAGACCAGAGGACATTTCTCCAAAAAGTATGATCTTTGTCCCCATGTGCAGTTGCAAACCGATTTTGGCCCACTCCTCCATACAGACCTTCTCCAGATCCTTCAGGTTTCGGGGCTGTCGCTGGGCAATACGGACTTTCAGCTCCCTCCAAAGATTTTCTATTGGGTTCAGGTCTGGAGACTGGCTAGGCCACTCCAGGACCTTGAGATGCTTCTTACGGAGCCACTCCTTAGTTGCACTGGCTGTGTGTTTCGGGTCGTTGTCATGCTGGAAGACCCAGACATGACCCATCTTCAATGCTCTTACTGAGGGAAGGAGGTTGTTGGCCAAGATCTCGCGATACATGGCCCCATCCATCCTCCCCTCAATACGGTATCCCCTTTGCAGAAAAGCATCCCCAAAGCATTTTATTGCATGACATAAGTATTTGATCACCTACCAACCAGTAAGAACTATCTCCTGAGTGGCGCAGTGGTCTAAGGCACTGCATCGCAGTGCTAACTGTGCCACTAGAGATCCTGGTTCGAAACCAGGCTCTGTCGCAGCCGGCCGCGACCGGGAGACTCATGGGCGGCGCACAATTGGCCCAGCGTCGTCCAGGGTAGGGGAGGGAATGGCCGGCAGGGATGTAGCTCAGTTGATAGAGCATGGCGTTTGCAACGCCAGGGTTGTGGGTTCGATTCCCACGGGGGGCCAGTATAAAAAATATATATGTATTCACTAACTGTAAGTCGCTCTGGATAAGAGCGTCTGCTAAATGAATAAAAATGTAAGAATTCCGGCTCTCACAGACCTGTTAGTTTTTCTTTAAGAAGCCCTCCTGTTCTCCACTCATTACCTGCATTAACTGCACCTGTTTGAACTCGTTACCTGTATAAAAGACACCTGTCCACACACTCAATCAAACAGACTCCAACCTCTCCACAATGGCCAAGACCAGAGAGCTGTGTAAGGACATCAGGGATAAAATTGTAGACTTGCACAAGGCTGGGATGGGCTACAGGACAATAGGCAAGCAGCTTGGTGAGAAGGCAACAACTGTTGGCGCAATTATTAGAAAATGGAAGAAGTTCAAGATGACGGTCAATCACCCTCGGTCTGGGGCTCCATGCAAGATCTCACCTCGTGGGGCATCAATGATCATGAGGAAGGTGAGGGATCAGCCCAGAACTACACGGCAGGACCTGGTCAATGACCTGAAGAGAGCTGGGACCACAGTCTCAAAGAAAACCATTAGTAACACACTATGCCTTCATGGATTAAAATCCTGCAGCGCACGCAAGGTCCCCCTGCTCAAGCCAGCGCATGTCCAGGCCCGTCTGAAGTTTGCCAATGACCATCTGGATGATCCAGAGGAGGAATGGGAGAAGGTCATGTGGTCTGATGAGACAAAAATAGAGCTTTTTGGTCTAAACTCCACACGCCGTGTTTGGAGGAAGAAGAAGGATGAGTACAACCCCAAGAACACCATCCCAACCGTGAAGCATGGAGGTGCAAACATCATTCTTTGGGGATGCTTTTCTGCAAAGGGGACACCGTATTGAGGGGAGGATGGATGGGGCCATGTATCGCGAGATCTTGGCCAACAACCTCCTTCCCTCAGTAAGAGCATTGAAGATGGGTCGTGTCTGGGTCTTCCAGCATGACAACGACCCGAAACACACAGCCAGTGCAACTAAGGAGTGGCTCCGTAAGAAGCATCTCAAGGTCCTGGAGTGGCCTAGACAGTCTCCAGACCTGAACCCAATAGAACATCTTTGGAGGGAGCTGAAAGTCCGTATTGCCCAGCGACAGCCCCGAAACCTGAAGGATCTGGAGAAGGTCTGTATGGAGGAGTGGGCCAAAATCCCTGCTGCAGTGTGTGCAAACCTGGTCAAGACCTACAGGAAACGTATGATTTCTGTAATTGCAAACAAAGGTTTCTGTACCAAATATTAAGTTCTGCTTTTCTGATGTATCAAATACTTATGTCATGCAATAAAATGCAAATTAATTACTTTAAAATCATACAATGTGATTTTCTGGATTTTTGTTTTAGATTCCGTCTCTCACAGTTGAAGTGTACCTATGATAAAAATTACAGACCTCTACATGCTTTGTAAGCAGGAAAACCTGCAAAATCGGCAGTGTATCAAATACCTCTTCTCCCCAATGTAGATACTTTTGTACCTGTTTCCTCAACATCTTCATAAGGTCCTTTGCTGTTGTTCTGGGATTGATTTGCACTTTTCGCACCAAAGTACATTCATCTCTAGGAGACAGAATGCGTCTCCTTCCTGAGCGGTATGACGGCTGCGTGGTCCCATGGTGTTTAGACTTGCGTACTATTGTTTGTACAGCTGAATGTGGTACCTTCAGGCGTTTGGAAATTGGTCCCAATGATGAACCAGACTTGTGGAGGTCTACAATTCTTTTTCTGGGGTCTTGGCTGATTTCTTTTGATTTTCCCATTATGTCAAGCAAAGAGGCACTGAGTTTGAAGGTAGGCCTTGAAATACAATTAGCCTATCAGAAGCTTCTAAAGCCATGCACAAAGTAGATGTCCTAACCGACTTGCCAAAACTATAGTTTGTTAACAAGACATTTGTGGAGTGGTTGAAAAACGAGTTTTAATGACTCCAACCTAAGTGTATGTAAACTTCCGACTTCAACTGTATGTATGTATGTATGTATGTATGTATGTATGTATGTATGTATGTATGTATGTATGTATGTATGTATGTATGTATAAAAATAAAACACACACACACACACACAGTGCATTCGGGATAAGAGCGTCTGCTAAATGACTAAAATGTAAATGTAATGAAAGTATTCAGACCCCTTGACTTTTTCCACATTTTGATACGTTACAGCCTTATTCTTAAATGTATTAAATATATTTTCTCCCTCATCAATCTACACACAATACCCGATAATGACAAAGCAAAAACAGGTTTTTTGAAATTTTTGCAAATGTATTACAAATAAGAAAAACTGATATTACATTTACATAAGTATTCAGACCCTTTACTCAGTACTTTGTTGAAGCATCTTTGGCAGCAATTACAGCCTCAAGTCTTCTTGGGTATGACGCTACAAGCTTGGCACACCTGTATTTGGGGAGTTTCTCCCATTCTTCTCTGCAGATCCTCTCAAGCTCTGTCAGATTGGATGGGGTGCGTCGCTGTACAGCTATTTTCAGGTCTCTCCAGAGATGTTCGATCGGGTTGAAGTCCGGGCTCTGGCTGGGCCACTCAAGGACATTGAGACTTGTCCCGAAGCCACTCCTACGTTGTCTTGGTTGTGTGCTTAGAGTCGTTGTCCTGTTGGAAGGTGAACCTTCGCCCCAGTCTGAGGTCCTGAGCGCTCTGGAGCAGGTTTTCATCAAGGATCTCTCTGTACTTTGCTCCATTCAACTTTCCCCTCGATCCTTACTAGTCTCCCAGTCCCTGCTGCTGAAAAACATCCCCAGAGCATGATACTGCCACCACCATGCTTCACCGTAGGGATGGTATTGGCCAGGTGATGAGCGGTGCCTGGTTTCCTCCAGACTTGACGCTTGGCATTCAGGCCAAAGAGTTCAATCTTGGTTTCATCAGAGCAGAGAATCTTGTTTCTCATGGTCAGAGTCCTTTAGGTGCCTTTTGGCAAACTCCAAGCGGGCGGTCATGTGCCTTTTACTGAGGAGTGGCTTCCGTCTGGCCACTCTACCATAAAGGCCTGATTGGTGGAGTGCTGCAGAGATGGTTGTCCTTCTGGAAGGTTCTCGCATCTCCACAGAGGAACTCTGGAGCTCTGTCAGAGTGACCATTGGGTTCTTGGTCACCTCCCTGACCAAGGCCCTTCTCCCCCGATTGCTCAGTTTGGCTGGGCGGCCAGCTCTAGGAAGAGTCTTGGTGGTTCCAAACTTCTTCCATTTAAGAATGATGGAGGCCACGGTGTTCTTGGGGACCTTCAATACTGCAGAAATATTTTGATACCCTTCCCCAGATCTGTGCTTCGACACAATCCTGTCTCGGAGCTCCACGGACAACCTTCGACCTCATGGCTTGGTTTTTGCTCTGACATGCACTGTCAACTGTGGGACCTTATATAGACAGGTGTGTGCCTTTCCTAATCATGTCCAATCAATTGAATTTACCACAGGTGGACTCAATGGAAACAGGATGCACCTGAACTCAATTTCGAGTGTCATAGCAAAGGGTGTAAATACTTATGTAAATAAGGTATCTTTTTTATTTTATATTATACATTTCCATTATGGGGTATTGTGTGTAGATTGATGATAATTTTTCTTTATTTAATCATTTTTAGAATAAAGCTGTAACGTAACAAGATGTGGAAAAAGTCAAGGCGTCTGAATACACTATCTATCACACACAGCCTCACCTTCCAGTCATACTGTAGCTGTCTCATAGCCCTGTAGACCTCAGCCATGATGTCATAGGGTCTGCTCTGACTCCTGATGCCCAGATGCCACTTGGCTTTCTTCACTGCCAAGGGTTTGGCTCTGGTGGTGTTCAGGGCATCCAGCGGGCAGCGAGCCTGCAGACAGAGAGCGAGGAGAGAATCTTTATTATCCCTAACAAGCAGTCATAAATACATGAGGACAAGAAGACTTCATGCAAAACTATACTGCCAATGTTGCATTTGCAACACTGGTATCATGGAAGAAGCACGTTATCAAGTGTTTACACTTCAGAGATATTGTATCTGATTTTATATACTGTAAACATAGTACATAGAATAGAACCAGGTAGAGATCCTTGCCTTGGGGCTGTCTACCAGCAGGGGGGGCATCCTCTCTGGGTGTGGTTTGACCCCGGGGGGCAGTGGCATGCCATCCTCCATGAAGGAGCTCTGGGGAGGGCTGGAGGCCAGGTAGAACTCACTGGCCTGGGTCATGATGCGTCGGTTATCTATGATCAGATGGTACGCTACCGCTAGCTGGTCCTGGAAAGAGACGGAAGGAGTGAGTAAGAGAGATCGTGAGAGAAGAGAGAGAGAGGGTAAGTGTGTTTGTCTACGTACTGTATGACTAAGCGTGTGTGTGTGTGTTTGTGCACATGCCTGTGTTGCGTGCATACCTGGGGGTCTCCACTGTACAGGCTGGACATCACCTCAGACTCGGTGCTCTCAAACTTGTCACACACCTCTCTGACGGCCTCCTCGTCCAGAACGGTGGAGTCATAGGAAGGGTCCTCAGGAAACAGGTAGCCTGGCAGGTCCTGCTTAAACCACTCATGTTCCCTACACATACACACACACACACACACGTGTGAACGCACGCACGCACACACACACACACAAAGTAACAGTTACTATCCATGATTCTTCTATTCTTTTGCTCTGGACCAACCTTCAACCACCACAAACAAGCTTTTGACTAGGTTTGCCAGTTCTATTAATCACATTAAAAACATGAGCATCATCATCAGTAGGGAAGTTTAGAGGTCAGGGGTTACCTAATGTCTTTAATGGTAGCTCTCTTCAGCGGGTCAACCTGCAGCATGAGCAGCAGCAGGGAAGCGACGGGGCGAGTGAGGTATTCTGGCATATAGAACACGCCCCCTCTGATCTTCTTAAACAGTGTGGGAACGTGTTCGTCATCAAAGGGTAGAGTCCCACACAGCAACGCATATAGGATCACCCCACAGCTCCATATATCCACCTCAGGACCAGCGTATAACCTGTACACAAAGCAAAGAATACACGATCACACCACAACATGCCGCCTACAGTATCAACCTTAGGATCTGCATACAGCCTAAACACGCACACACACCTTCCGGAGATGACTTCAGGAGCAGCGTAGTTGGGAGATCCACAGCTGGTCCTCAGGAACTCCCCGTCTGACATCATGTTTGACAACCCTGTTGACCAGAGCAAATCATTTTTAAAACATTATCTTCAAATTCCAACCTTAACTAACCTTATCACTGTCCAAACAAACACAAGTTACTATATTCTATCTTCCCTCTCCCCACCTCTCTCTCTCTCCCTCCCTCACCCACTCTCCCTCCCTCCCTCACCCACTCTCCCTCCCTCCCTCACCCACTCTCCCTCCCTCCCTCACCCACTCTCCCTCACCCACTCTCCCTCCCTCCCTCCCTCACCCACTCTCCCTCCCTCCCTCACCCACTCTCCCTCCCTCCCTCACCCACTCTCCCTCTGTCTCTCTCGCTCCCTCTGTCTCTCACTCTCTCCTCACTCTGTCTCCTGCTGTCTCTCTCCCAGTCTCCCGCTGTCTCTCTCTAATCAGGTGACACAGTGTCTGACAAGGCTCCCTGCAAGTGGATATCCGATAGACAGCCCCCCCCCATACACATCCGGCCAAACCCCTTGTCAGTGTCCAGTTTTAGGTGTCGGTATATTCTAAAAGAGAAGTGGTTTGGTTTGACTTTTGCTACTGCTGATATAGTGGTTATGGCTGTGTGGACAACTCAATTTGTTATTTCTCTGCATGCGTGTGTGTGTGTGTGTGTGCTCTATCGTGCATGTGTGTGTAGTGTACCAAAGTCAGCTATTTTGGCGTTCTTGGAATGGTCCAGCAGGACATTCTCAGGTTTGAGGTCTCTGTGCACCACCATGTGTCTGTGGCAGTAGTCTACCCCTGAGATGATCTGCTGGAACAACCGACGAGCCTCTTTGTCTTCTACCTACACACACACAATACGAGGTACAGATTAAGAGGTTAGGAGATTATTATTTTCTAATGTGACTACATGCTTTCACTATGAAAAATGTCACCATAAAATGGCCTGTGTCTATATTAATCAATCAATCAACCAGATAGTCAGTCAGCCATTCAGTCAGTAAGTCAGTCAGAGACAGATAGCCATTCAGACAGTCAGTCTTTCAGTCAGTCAGCCTTTCAGTCAGAGACAGACAAACTGACAGTCAGAGGTATGTCTCACCCGTCCATGTTTGCAGATGTAGTCAAACAGCTCTCCTCCTGATACATACTCCATCACCATGAAGAAGTCTGTAGGAGTACTGATCACCTGGTACCTACACACACACACACACACACACACACACCTTACAGAAGCCAACACGTCTGCCATAGCTCACAATGTCACTGTGGCCTAAACCTAAAAATAACACGGAGAGAGAGATAGAGAGAGCGAGACAGAGCGAGCGAGCGAGAGACTAGAAACCTGAGAAGGGATTTACCCAAGCAGGAATTATAAACTTCTATCTTCTTAACTAGAGATTTCTTCTAACCGGAATTGGTGTGTGTGGGAGAGAGAGAGGGGGTACTCCTTAGGCCCGAAGTAAACAAACACTGAGTGCATGTGTGTGCGGGTATATGTGTGGGGGAGAGAGGGGGTACTCCTTAGGCCCGTAGTAAACAAACACAGTCTGTGTTTGTGTGTGTTATCCTCACAGTTTGATGATGTGAGGGTGTCTGAAGAGTTTGAGGTTCTGTATCTCTCGTTTGATCTTGCCCACCACGTCCAGACTCCTGATCTTCTGTCTGTTCAGGATCTTCACTGCCACCTTATGACCTGTCAACTGGTGCTCTCCAACTACAACACACACACACACACGAACCAACTGGAATATCCATAATTTGTCCCAATATATATATATATATACTTATTGTGTTCAACTGCTACAATGTAGGCTATAAGGCACAATTTGTGCTGATGGGTCAAATATTAAAAACGGTTTAGTCTTTTCCTCTGTTGCCAAGGTGACACAAACCACACTGTGGTAGGAGATAGGGGAATGTGTGATGTGTATGCTACTCTCAGCTAAACATTAATTACCTGATAAAGAACAGAACCCTAGCTGTTTCACAGTAGTCAACTAGCTATATCTATCTATTCACAACAGTAAGTAACGTACATAAACTGGTAAACTGGGAAAACACAACACACAAATTACAGTAAGCCTAAAGCCATACACACAGATTACAGGCTGAATAAGTCAAGTGCGTCTGTCAGATAGTTTCAAAATCGTATCAAGTCGGTCTGTACTCTGTCGCCACATGGTTAGTCAGTCTAACAATTCAGCAACATTGTCTGTCTGCTACAATGTAGCAACCCTGTTTTTGTTGGCTACTTGCTGGTTACACACTGTCACACTCATGTCTCAAATCAAACACACCTCCTGCAGTGCAGGGGGTGAGAGGAGGAGTAGGGTGGTTCTGAATTCTACAAGGTCACGTTGAGACTGCTAGAAAATAGGAAACTTGACGAGGCGTTTTAGATTCTCATTCTGTCCATGCCTTGGTATGGTTTACATGATTGAGGAACACTGGTGATGATGAGCACTATTAAGCTATAACGTTACGGTTTATTTTCATTTTAAAATGTCCTTTCCATAGCCATATAAGGCAAGTTTAAAGGTCAACTGTCACTAGCAAAGTCAACCTCCGACATTCACTGGTGGTCAGGCGATACAATTGTGTGACTTGTTTGTTTTTACACCATCATTGTTGTCGAAGTTAATTATGCATACATAGCCTATCATTACTGATAAGAATGAGTGGACAGCCTAGCTAGATTTGTTGCTGGAAGAATTCACCTTTCAACAAATCCAAACCACATTCTCTACATATCAACGGAGACAACGTTAATCTAGCTACGCAGCCACAACTACGCACTTTGCGTAGCTATCTAAATAGCCCGCCGCTGACTTGTGTTCGAAAACAGTCTATGATTATTTATTTTTTACAATCAATACCAACAAATGTCACACGACATGACTGTTGACAAGCTCGCAACTTAACTCTTTACTTTGCCGAAGGTGCCGACGCCCAGAGTGTCTCCTAGGAGGTAATGTCCGATCTTCACTCGGCCGCCTTCATGTTTCTGCTGTCGTTCTGCCATCTTTACCGTTCAGAACGTTAAACCGCTCCGGTAGGCTCGCGCTGGCTGCGGGGCCGCCGTACACTAGACCTGTGCGTTCAGTTCGCTTGAACGTTTGCTACGTTGCGGAACGGTTTGTACTGAACGACACGTTTCCCCAAAACGTTCTTGAACAGACTGAGGTACATTTGCTCCCGTTTGGTGGGTATGGCTTGAAGCAATGAGTGACGTCCTTAAAGGGCACTGGCCATGCTGACAGCGTTCCTCAACATCTCCCCGTTTTTTAACTGGTCATTCAGTACAGCACCGTTTCCATTGAATTGAACGTCCCAGACAGTGGCGGCTGGCCGATAGAGGGCGCTAGGGCGCCGCCCCCTTAAATAAAATTATTTTAAAAAATAAAATAAAAAATAAATAAAAATAATAATAATAATAATAAAAACATCAGTATGTCAATATTTGTGTGTTTGAAATATGGAATGCACACAGTAATATGTGTAAGATATGATAGAAAATCATATTCGCAACCTTTCCTCTGCCTGTCAAACGCCTCGTCAGCTCTGGGCGATACAGAAAGTGCCCCGAGGAGGCGGGTCTACGTAGCAGTTAAGCCAATTGCTAATTTAAGATATGAATGTATGACATAAAATGTAGACAATCAGCGATCTTAAATCGAATCCAAGGAGGGCGATTATTTTATCGCCCCAAGCTCGCCCCTGATAAAATAAGGACCGGGCTCCAGTGGCGCCATTTTTACTAGACGACAATGGCTAGCGCAAACGTTACTCCTCCAAGACCCAACCCTAACTCGGTGAAATCTCTCCTCCAAGATCCGTTTGAGAGGAGAACTTTGTCAGAGAAAGTTCGGGTGAAAGAGCTGGGCCCAGATCAACCTGACCTCTCAATCAGACAGCAGGCTAGCGAGAAAGGGAAGCAGTATATGCGCGGCTTCTCCCGTAGCTGGTACACCAGGAAGGCTTGGCTAGCTGGGTGCACTGATGCTAATGCTTTATTTTGCTTTCCGTGCTTGCTTTTTAAAACGACGGGGTCAGATTCAGCATGGACAGGTACCGGAGTGAGGGATATGAAGCACCTGTCAGAGAAGGTAAAGAAACATGAGAACACCAGGGCACACATGGACAACTCTGTAAAGCTAGCTGTATTAGGAAGGGTGAACATTGCTACGCAGCTGGATGACGGCCACAGGATTGCGGTGAGGAAACACAATGAGGAGGTGGATAAAAACAGGCACATTCTATCCAAAATTATCGATTGTGTGAAGTTCTGTGGGGCTTTTGAGTTGGCCTTGCGTGGGCACGAGGAGACTGACTCCTCGGACAACCCCGGCATTTTCCGGGGCTTAGTGGATTTTGTTGCCTCCCTCGACAGTGTGCTGGAGGAGCACCTGAAGACAGCTACCGTTTTTAAGGGCACGTCAAAGACGATACAGAACGAGCTGTTGGACTGTATGCTGTCAGTGCTTAAGGATTACATCCTGGAGGAAGTAAAGAGTGCTGATTTTATCGCCATTCAAGCTGACGAGACGACTGACGTTTCCACCCACTGCCAGTTGGTGCTTGTGATACGCTACATCGATGCTAAAAGTAACGTCCAAGAGCGTTTTTTCGAGTTCATTTTGATCGAGAACGCAACCGCCGACACCATCGCTACAGCGCTGCTGGAGAGGCTCAGCACCATACTCTCACATGGACAAAAGGCCAAACTTATTGCCCAGGCTTACGACGGAGCAAGTGTGATGAGGGGAGCCACCGGCGGAGTGCAGCGTAAAATAGTGGATGTGTACGAAAATGCGCACTACGTCCACTGCTATGCACATCAGCTGAACCTCATCATGCAGCAGGCTACTTCACGCATCCCCAGGATCGGCACTTTCTTTTCCGACCTTGCAGGATTTTCTGCTTTCTTCTCCAGGTCTCCCAAGCGAACCACCGTGCTTGACGAAGTGGTTGCGCATAGACTCCCCAGAGCCTCTACAACACGGTGGAACTTCCACAGTCGCGCTGTAAACACTGTGTACGAGTACAGGGATGACCTCCTAACGTGTTTCCAGACCATCAGAGACTCTGGGAACTTTGATGCCCCGACTGTCAGAGAGGCGGGGGGCTTTGTGAGGATGCTCGAAGACGAGGCTTTCTGTTTTTTCCTGGCACTGTTCCACAAGATCATGCCAAATGTGGACATGCTTTTCAGCCAGCTGCAGAAGAGGAACATCGACCCTGTCTTCATTAAAGCACTTGTCCAGAGGTTCACAGACAGCATGCTAACAATCAGGTAAATAACTATATTTACTATTGGCTGATAAAGATGTTGTTAGAAAGATGAATAGTTCACTTACAACAGTTTAAAAGCCTAAATGTGTCTGGTCATCAAAGTGAGTGATTATCATAGAGCCGTCACAATTATATTTGTTTTAGTATTTTAAAAGGAAAGAGAAGACACAATCAGACGTTGATAATAATGCAGGAAAGTACTACACAGTTTGTAATAATTATTCAGGTGTCCACCAGGTCAATTTCTAGAAGAGGCCTAGTTGTTATTGAAGATTAACTTTATTGCTAAGTGCACAGCAGAACAAAATGATGTTGCATCCCTCTCACAAATGTAATAGAAAAAGGCTTTAAAACGTAATAACATCAGTTAATTATGTACATCACAGGTTAAAAGCAGTTACTAGACATAGTTTGTGTGTATATACACACTATCTGTCTGTCTGTCTGTCTGTCTGTCTGTCTGTCTGTCTGTCTGTCTGTCTGTCTGTCTATATATATATATATATATATATATATATATATATATATATATATATATATATATAAGTCACTGGTTGTGTGTTGAGGGGGAATTACAGTGAGTTAAGAAGTCTGATTGCAAGTTATCAAATTAAACTTTATTTTTTGGACCCAGGGCCTCAATTTCCTCTTTGTGTGGGGACAGCGCATCTGACGAGCAGCAACAGCCCATCAAGCGACGGAGGATGCTGGGACCAGGAGAACAACAGAGGTTGGCTATAGAGGTAAGTTGTGATGTAATTGTCAGTGTTTCCCCCTAGAACTTTTTTCAGGCCTGGTAGTATGTAGCCAAAACCCTGAACAATCAGCACCTTGGTAATCATATACTTGAGTTGGACATAGGCATGTGTCAGTCAGGATCACTTGCATCAAAATAGCTTAATTGCAAATTAAAGCTGATGATGTATCTTTTACAGGTATGTGATACCATCCTGAGTCATGCCAAAGAGAGGTTCTCCTTCACCCAGCACCTCATCAGCGCAACACTATTGCACGGAGAGTTGTTCCCACAACACAGTGTGAAGTTCCCCGATACAGCGCTTGAAACAACCGTGGAGGCGTACCCCATGTTGAACAAGGCCAAGCTCAAAACCGAACTGTCCCTCATCTATGAGAACAGTGAGTTCAAGGCTTGTAGTGGTGCAGTGCCCCTGTACCAGTTCTTCATGGAGAACAACCTTCAGAGCACTTTCACAGAGACTGCCAGCCTCCTCAAGATCCTCATCACCACACCCATGACAACTGCTGAGTCAGAAAGGTGCTTCTCTACACTGAAAAGGATCAAGACCTTCCTGAGAAACAGCATGACACAGGATCGCCTGAACGCTCTGGCCATGCTCTCCATGGAGAAGAAACTTGTCAGGGACATTCCTGACTTTAATCAAAGGGTCATTGAGAGGTTTGCCACTCAGAAGGACAGACGGGCAAAATTCCTGTACAAATAAGATGACAGACACACACACAGAGCAGCTCTGGCCGCATGTTTCTTTGTATATAGTTGACCTTAGCATAAAAAATCCAGTTATATATGGTACTCTAGAAAGTCTTAATAGTGTCTTTGCTAATATTACTGTATATATGTTGTTTTGTATCAATTAATTGTTGCAGTTCTGGAGCACATTAACAATTAGTCACATTTAGTATGATCATAAAATACTGTATGCTATTCTTCCAGTCAAAGGTTTGAGTTCATCCACTTGATATCAATTTCTATATTATACATCCTTTTATACAGTGTAAGATTTCCTATAAACTTTATAATAATTTCATGTTATTGTCCACTTTCCACTCTGTTCTGACAGCATGCCTGTTGCGTTGCCTGTTTACTACCAATGGTGAAAAGTTCACTTTAAATGCAAATGAAAGGCTTGGGTTTGTGTAATATGTTTTTGTGTAAGAATGCCTCAACTTTTTAATATTGGCATTAAATAATTACTGAATGTTTCACTGAGCACTGCTGTCCTGCAGTTTGTGTTAAAATATATCGCGATGGTTACAGGAAAAAAAAAGTATGGCACAGCCCCACCGAGAATATTTTTCACCAGCCGCCACTGGTCCCAGATAGATAAACACATATTGAACGCAGCCCTGGGTTTCCCAAACTTGGTCCTGGGGCCCCCCCTTGCAAAAAAAGATTGCAGTTTTGAAACTGCAGTAACAGTGCAGTAACTGCAGTCGACTGTGGTATTTTGGAGGCAATCATTGCAGAATAACTGCAGTGTACTGCAGTTGAACTGCACTGTAACTGCAGTTATACTGCACTCTCACTGCAATCTTTTTTTGTAAGGGCCCCCTGGGTGCAAGTTTTGGTTTTTGCCCTAGCACTACACAGCTGATTCAAATAACCAACTCATCATCAAGCTTTGCTTATTTGAGTCAGCTGTGTAGTGCTAGGGCAAAAACCAAAACGTGCAACACACTCATCAATCACCTCAGCGATTACAGTATGTTCAGTAGGCTAAAATATGCCTGTAGGCTTAAAAATATATATTGGGTCAGAAATCTATTACAGAACAGGTCATTGATTCTAGGCCTAATATAGGCCAATTAATGTGACCTGTTATTACAGATAATGGCCTATATACTACACAACTACAGTATTATTAGTGCCCTGGATGTCTCACATAGGTGAGAGACACAATCCCAAACACTACTGCTGTTTTTCATTCTTCTTCCCCTCTAATCAGGGATTGATTCAGACCTGGGGCACCGGTGAGTGGACTCTCTGGCCAATCAATTAACTCAGGGAGAAAATAAAAACATCAGTACTCTGTCCAGATTGGAGAAAAGTGGTTGTTTCTGAACCGAGGA